CCTTCAGAAATCATTAAAAAAAAAACTCGGAAACAACAATTTGGTTTATTTTTTCAGAAAGCAAAGGTTCTGAAAATATCTGGAATTAGGCATGAACCAGTTTGAGATTCTGACGGTATGATGACCTTGGATATGAATATGGTTTTACGGTACTGTGATTCCTGCTCTAAAATATATTCTTTTTAAATGCCTGTGTAAAAAAACAAAACCTTTTCCCCTTTGTACATAATGTTTTAATTTGGGAAACATTAAAAATATTTTGGAGCAGTAAATATGTCGGGCTAAATAATTCAAATGAATTATTGACTTCTGCTGTCTTCATTTGTTTCAAAAGATCTTTTTTTGCAATTTAAATTTTTTTTTTTTTCTGCTGGGGATACTGCTTTCCCCCCAAAAAAATTTTTAATAAAAAATATTACTCATACCTTGACGATTTTAAAACCTTGACTTTTCCAAACCGCTGTATACCTTGAACACGCTTATCTGGAATTGAAATTTGCCAAGCTCAAAGATATTTTCTGCTGCAGACCGCTGACTTAGTATTTGTTTTTCCGAACCTGGATGTCAATAGCTACGTTTCCAGTTTTCTTTAGAATATCTGCTGTTGTGTTCAACAAATGAAACAATTTCGTGAAGGTTTGGAACAAGTAGAGCGAGGGTACAGATTTTAACTCTAACTTGCCTCAACACAGCTGAAAGGATGTTTCTAGAAAGCCTAGTTATGCTGTGATCACATTAGAGTTTGAGTATGCAAATATTCTGCTCTATGGCGCCGTGAAAAGGATGGGATTACAAAAGATGATTAGACGATTAGCAATTGGCCCATATTTAAAATTTCTGTCCAGAGAGGTCATTTTTTGACCTTTGCCATTTCTCAGGTCAGAGTTCACAAAGTGTGAACTTTGCAACGCGGTGGACTGCGAAACTTGTCGCACGAGCTTGCATTTCCAGTCTGACGCATTTGCATGCCAATGAATGGAAGTCTATGAAGTGAAAAGTCTAGTGTGAGCGTGGTTAGCTTGATTAGCTAGTCCAGGTGTATCTGATTGGGCTTGGTGCTAAAATCTGCAGTACACCAGACCTCCAGGACTGAGATTGAGAACCCCTGATCTAGAGGGTGAATAAATAACATTTTTGTTTTGGGAGGAATCATCCTTTTAAGGGCTGAAATTCAGGTCAGGTGCAAGTCTCTAGAACCTCTTCCCTACTCAACAAGCCCTAATTGCGTAATAATAGTATTACAGTAATATTCACGTTTGAATTAAATGTTGTTGTGTTTTTTACAAATGTGATAATTACTAGGAAATGTAGACACTTGCTTTGACATCAGCTTGTCTATAGCCACAGGAAATCACTAGCTTCGTAACCTGCTCTGCTGTGATCTTTGTCCAGTCTTCTTCAGCCTCCTCCAGAGTTCACTGACTGTATGGTCATAGTCATAACTTTGTCAGGAAAGATTTTCCAGAACTTTTCGATGAGGTTTATGTCAGGTTTACATTCAAGGAACTGCTTTATCCATGACTTCAGTGACTAAGTTTACATAGGCATTGATTTGTTCATTCAATTACCTTCAACTTAGTCTCTATTTTACAGGTCGCCAGAGTGGAATGAGCCACCAACTGTTCCAGCATATGTTTTACGCAGCGGATGCCCTTCCAGCTGCAACTCAGTACAGGGAATCACCCATACTACACACTCATTCTAACACACTCATGCCAATTTAGTTCATCCAATTCATCTATAGTGCATTTGTTTGGACTGTGGGGAAAACCAGCATATACGAAATACATGCGAACACGGGGAGAACATGCAAACTCCCCACAAATGCCAAATGGCCCAGCTGGTACTCAAACCAGTGACCTTCTTGCTGTGAGGTGACAATGCTAAGCACTAAGCCACCATGCCGCCCAAAAAGTTATACATAAAAATTAATAAAAATGACAAGGGCTATGTTTCAAAATGTAAATCATAGACATTCAAAATATTACATATACCCCTTTACCTATACATAGCTTGAACTTTGCAATGCAGTGACATGCACACATTTCACACAAGCTTGCGTTCCCGGTCTGCCGCATTCACTATTCCCTAGATTAGTAAACTAATAGTCCACTTAAAGCATTGGGCTCAAACTCAATTCCTGGAGGGCCGCTGCTCTGCAGTTTTGCTACAACCATAGTCAAACACAGCTGATGCAATAAATTAAGATGTTCGAGTCTCTTTTGAAAACCTTGATTATTTGTATCAGCTGTGTTTGATTATGTTTGGAGCAAAACTATGCAGAGCTGCGGCCCTCCAGGAATTGAGTTTGAGACCTATGACTTAAAGCAGAGGTCACCAAACTTGTTCCTGGAGGGCCGGTGTCCTGCAGATTTTAGCTCCAACCCTACTCAAACACACCTGAACAAGCTAATCAAGGTCTTACTTGGTATACTTGAAACACCCAGGCAGGTGTGTTGAGGCAAGTTGGAGCTAAACCCTGAAGGGACAACGGCCCTCCAGGACAGAGATTGGTGACCCCTGACTTAAAGGAATAAAAGGGAATGAACTGAAGCAGAGGGCAAGGGGTGACCTTTTATTGGGATTTTTTTGGTCGAAACACTGTTTCGAATCAAAGCCTTTTTTCTTAAGGATGCAAACAAAGTCAAAGTAAGTATGTGAAACTGCTGTCTATCTATTTTGAGGGATGATAATCCTGGAATGTGCACCATACATGTAAAAATCTATAGGTGTAAAAATGCCCTGAGACAGATTTCAAATACACCTAGTCTTTTATTGGTACCAAGTAAATATCATAATCAGTCTCAATCAGCTTCACAAGATGACATTTCAGCAATAACAAATGCGTTCACAAGATTTTGGCCCCAAGGACAGACGTCTTCCATAGAGGACAGGACGTGTAATTGAATCTAGTGTCCATCCGTTCACTCAGTGCCACTGCAATGATCAGAAGAAAAACACCTATAAATCACCACTGCTCCACCACAGGCCCATCATTTCTACAAGCCTGGCAGAATATAAATCATGTTTACAAAGCTGGAGTCTTTACGGAGAGTTGCCCCAAACATAATTGCAGCTTGTAAAATGTGGCACTCTTCACATAAAGCACAGGTTGCACAGGACGAAAGAATTTGAAGCTTGAGAGATTAAAAAAAATCTCAGTTGGCTTTGGACACTATCAGAAAAGAAAAGGCTCCAAAACCTCTCCTGGTGCAGACGACAGGATCCAGACCACAAACATACAAATTAATACCAAAGTACTTATTAAAAAAACTTTACCTCAGTTTCTCATTTCTTTGAACAAGTTGCAAATGCTTTGGTATATCCATGCAAATTACTATGTACAATTCTCTGCTGTTTTCTACATTATCAATTGCTTATGTCATGTTTATCCAAATGTATCTGTTGAATAGTTTTTAATTGCAAAATAGTTGAACATGGCAAGTTTTCATAATCTGTCAAGCATATCTCTATACATTTCCATTATTTTTATTCATTTCCTACCGCTTTTCAGGGGCCGGGTCGCGGGGGCAGCAGTCTTGGGAGAGAATCCCAGACTGCTCTATCCCCAGGCACTTTCTCTAGCTCCTCTGGGGGGATCCAGAGGCATTCCCAGGCCAGCCGAGAGACATAGGCTGCGTCCGAAACCTCCTACTACTCAGTAAGTACTGCATTTGAATTTAAACGTACTACTCGGCCGTTAGAAAAGTACGTTCTATACAGTATGAATGTGAAAAGTATGAATGGAATTCGGACGTACTACATGTGCCATTTTGTCATGGTCACGTGACCTACCTGCGTCAGTTGCGTCGATCACTTCCATTCATGAATTCTCTCGCGGGGCATTATGGGATAGCGCAGCGTGCATGGGATGCGCACTCCAGAATCTCGCCAGAAGTAGTAAGTTATCCGGGTACTTCTCGCATACTGATTTTCGAATTCTATGAATTTGGACACACTACTCGACTCGCATACTGATTTTAGCGTACTGTATAGTATGGAAGTATGCGGTTTCGGACGCAGCCATAGTCCCTCCAGCGTATCCTGGGTTTCCCCAAGGCCTCCTCCCAGTGGGACATGCCTGGAACACCTCCCTAGGTAGGCATACAGGAGGCATCCGAAACAGATGCCAGAGCCACCTCAGCTGACTTCTCTCGATGTGGAGGAGCAGCGGCTCTACTCCAAGCTCCTCCCGGGTGCCAGAGCTCCTGACCCTATCTATAAGGGTGCGCCTTACCACCCTGCAAAGAAAACTCATTTCGGCTGCTGGTATCTAAGATTTTTCGGTCATGACCCAAATCTCATGACCATAGGTGAGAGTAGGAACGTAGATTGACCAGTAATTGGTGTGCTTTGCCTTTCGGCTCAGCTCCTTCTTCACCACAACAGGCCGGTACATCGACCGCATTACTGCTGCACCAATCCTGTCAATCTCACATTCCATCCTTCCCTCACTCGTGAACAAAACCCCAAGATACTTGAACTTCTCCACCTGCAGTAACAACTTTACTCCAACCAGGGGAGAGTCTCTCTGGAGAGAATTTCTATGACTTTTTTTCCTAAATCTGTCCCGAATTGTTAAATTGCTTCCGGGTGAATCTTGACATCTCATGAACCGAACCATCAACTGGAAAGTATATATACTTGGAGCACAACATAATGTTACAATGCATGTCTGCTGTTCACTTTCTTCTGTGACTCCCCAACTGTCTTTACTTTCATCCGCGACAACCCCCCGCTCTTCACTTTTGTCCTTTGTCCGCGACCCGATCCTCAGTTAACATGGCGGATCCATAACCCTGATCTGTTCCGAGACCTCGCAATTCACAAGTTAAGCACTGATTATACTAAGTTGTTTGTAGTTTACAACACTTCTTGTCTTTGTAGTTTAAGAATAATAAATGCTTATATTCTTTTTAATATATAATTTATATATTTAATAATTTTATAAAATATTAAAAAATAAAATATTAACTCAAAATATTAAACATGCCCTCTAAAACTGTTTAAACTTTTTAATAAAAAAAAAATATATTACAGTGAAACAGTCTTGAATGTGTTTCAACTCAAGCTACCATTATAAGTCAAAGTGCAGTTAAATTGTTCAGTGAAGGCTTCTAGTAGCTCGGGTATGGCCTCTTCAGGGGGGACATCCCGCTCCAGCTCTTGGCTCAGTGAGGTCACACCTTTTCCCACAATCCCACATGGCACAATGTTGTCAAACCAGCTCATGTCTGTGTTGCAGTTCAGAGCCAAACCATGGGAGGTGATGTATCTTCCACAATGGATGCCTGCGAAACAAAACAAATACCAACATAACACTGTTTCTCAGTCTTCTCTTTCAATTTATTGTACTGTATAAGAAGGCCTGTGATTTTTAGTATCCTTTTAGACCTGGAAACAGACTGGCTATGAAATATAATGATAAAGTCTAATGAATATTATTTTTCTGCATAAATGTGTTCAATCTATAACCAGTATAACTAGTTTCTTGAGACTGCAGGAGAAATGGTCACGCTCAACTGAGCCTGGTTTCTCTCAAGGTTTTTTCCCTTCACTTTCGTCAACTGGTGAAGTTTTGTTCCTCACCACTGTCGTCACTGGCTTGCTTGGTTTGAGACTTGTGCAGGGCTCAACAATAAGGACTGCCCGATGGCCCAGGGCCAGCATGAGAGACGCTTGGAACAGTAGACCGGATCATTACTGGCCCGAATAGGACAGTGCTGCCTAATCACTAAAATTTAAATTTGTCCACTACTATTTGCTAATTGCGTACATTTTAAGTTTGTGCTTTTAAGTTTTTAAATGCTATCTTTTCTGTGATGTCGTAAACACCATATTTGTTTTCAGTTCCTCTTATCTGATTTGATGTTTTGAGCATGCTATTTTTTCTGTAACCTGGTAACAACCAGTACAGCGAAGAAACGGCAACATTAAATTATAAGACTTGAAGAAAATGTCTGTTTCTAACGTCTTGGAAGCAGACATTTACATGGGAACAACATGACAAAAAATTAAGTGATGTTTTGCACGTTTGCAGTCAGTTTGACAAGTCAACCACCACATTTTGCTTGTTTGCATAACATAATTTTGCTCATTATACATGTATTAACATTTTTAAAGTATTGAAATTCTATATTCACAGACATTATTTTTGACACCTTCTTTAAAATATGTGCCTAAAAATGAGCTATTAACTTCTCTTTTTTTTTGGTGGGGCCAGTGAAAATTTTGGCAGGGCAAGTAAAAATCTGAACCACTGGCCCGATCCGACCAATAAAAAGAATCTTTAGCGTTGAACCCTGTTGTGGAGCAGTGAAAATTCAACCACACTGACCTGAACTAAACAGAACTTCAACTCTGAAAACTGGACTGACAGTTTCAATTTAATACAACTTCTATGTTAAGCTTAATATATTAAGTTTAATAAAGATTAATTACATTTTATTCTAATTGCTAATGCGTTGCTAGGCAGTTGCTAAAAGACTACATGTAAATGTATATAATAAGGATAATAAACAATGAATTTAATTTTAAAAATACTTTTTTGTTGTGATGGGAATATTTTGGAATAAATTTTGTCGAAGTAATTATTACCCACGTCACAGTGGGGCAGTGGTTAGCATGATCGCCTCACAGCAAAAAGGTTGCTGATTCGAGCTCCTCCTAGGTCAGTTGGCATTTCCGTATGGAGTGTGCATGTTCTTCTTATGTTGGCGTGGGTTTTTACCATGTGCTCTGGTTTTTCCCACAGTCCAAAGATATGCGCTACAGGTAAATTGAATAAGCTAAATTGGCTGTAGTGTATGTGTGCTTTCCAGTGATGGGTTGCATCAGGAAGGGCATCGCTGCGTAAAATATATGCTGGATAAGTTGGCGGTTCATTCCATCAGGGCGTCCCCTGATTAATAAAGGAACTAAACTTGATAAAGGAACTAAACTTTTTGTTGTGATGGGAATATTTTGAATAAATTTTTTAGAAGTAATTATTTCCCACGTCACAGAGGGGCAGTTATATTTTATATATATTCACTGTTATATTAAAATTAAAATGATTAAAATAATTAATAATAATAATAATAAGTATTAGTAATAAACAATGAATTTTGTTTTAAACACTTTTGGCTGTGATGGAGATGATAATCTTCTTCTTCTTTGGCCTTAGTCCCGTATGGTTGCGGGGTCAGCTCTTTGGAACAAGCCATTTTAGACTTGTCCATATGATAACGACTTTAGTACACATTCCGGCCGGCCTGTCACCCTCATACACTCATACACTACGGACAATTTAGCCTACCCAATTCACCTGCAGCATGTCTTTGGACTGTGGGGGGAAACCGGAGCACTCGGAGGAAACCCACGCGAACGCAGGGAAAACATGCAAACTCCTCACAGAAATGCCAACTGAGCCGAGGTTCGAACCAGCGACCTTCTTGCTGTGAGGCGACAGCACTACCTACTGTGCCACTGCTTCACCCCTGTGATGGAGATGATGATAATAATAATGTTTAATAATGTTTGTAGAAGTAATTATTTTCATAGTTTTGACATAACTGTTATTCTAATATGCGCTAAATGTTATTATTTTTACTCTTTTTTTATTATTAATAATAATAATAAACTTTTTTTTTTATTAATTTAGTTTGTAAACTACTTTTTTTGGTATGGAGATGTTGTATACTGTGTGTTGTATACTGTAAACCCGCAGACTTTTTTGTCACATCCGTGACACGTGTTTATTTTCCTCATTTAAAGTATAAAAAAAATGTCTACAGATTGATATTTTTCTGGTCCCTTTACTCTGTGGTCAGTTGTTTTGGAAAATATAAACAAAAGATTCAATGTAATGTTAAAATATGCTTCCTCTGTGAATTTATGTGTTGAGTTTTTACTGCAAATGTCACATTCATAAAACATGCTGAAATTGCTCATCTATCTATCTATCTATCTATCTATCTATCTATCTATCTATCTATCTATCTATCTATCTATCTATCTATCTATCTATCTATCTATATATAGACAGATATATATATATATATATATATATATATATATATATATATATATATAGACAGATATATATATATATATATATATATATATATATATATATATATACACTAGATGTTACTATATATATACTAGATGTTGACCAATTTGGCATTGTACAATGTCTAATGTGAAACATCGCGATAGACGATGCTATTAATCGTCTTAATAGATTAATTTGTTAAACACAAATGACCACCTGTCAATCACTTTTTTTTCCCGCGGGACTCTGGCATGAATAGGCAGTGATCTGTGTCGTTCTAATGGCTTCTCCCACAGCTGGTGGAAGAGCCGAGAGTTCGGTTGGAGTTCACTGTAGTGCATACATTTTCATTGTTTTCACTGCAAAATTCACACAGCGTGCACGGATTTAGGAGACATTTATGCAGAATGCATCTTTGCATCTAAAAACGCCAAAAGCAGCACTCAGGAACAGATAAACAGTTGATATGTGAACTTGCAGAAGTAAAAAGCCTGCAATGCTTGCCCCGCCTTTGTGCTCTTCTTATTAGCCCACTGCTCTAAATAAATGCAAATGATTGGTTAATGTCAGCCGTCAATCACTCAGCCAATGCCTTCTGCCTTCTGATGACAGAAGCTACAACCGCGAAAATGTGAAGCGCTGAAAATGAGAGAATGAAAATAACACTGACAGATTTACTCACGGTTACTAATAATGGCACATCTTATTAGTGATGTGCTGAATGTTAATCCACCATTTACACTTTTACTGGAAAAGACTTCCAGTGGCTTCAAGTTCGCTATGAAAATAACTAAAGCTATTCACTTTAAAGTCTTTGGGATGGGGTTTGCAGGTAAAAGCATTTGCCACTGAATCTACACATTTTAAGCGTGAGAGGTTTGATTTATATATCAATATAAATGTGGGGCGGGGCGATGGATCGCAATGCTGGCTCAGAATCGTGAAGTTTGTCAGCCATCGGTGATGGACGATGGCATCGTCTATCGGCACAACCCTAATATATACATACATAAGGGTTGGGTTAATAGATGTTGCCATCGTCCATCAATGACCAATAGACATCACAATGCTGAGCCGGTATCGCGATCCTCCACCGTGCCCCCGTCGCATTTTAGAACAAATATGATCCATGTCCACACTGACGTTTTATCTGGCATTTATGAACGCCTGTTAGTCCACACTATACCACATCACGTGATCACACAAACACACACTCTCTGTCATGCGCTTTAGCATAATGTGCACGTCCAAGCTTCAGGCAATCAGCGGGTGCTTTGAGCACAAAACCCCAGAGAGCAGTCCACATCGGACTGTTTATCAAGGATGTACCACTGGATCGCGTCTCACTATAGTTGTTAAAGGGTCACGAAACACCAAAACACATTTTTTGAGCTGTTGACAGTCATATATGTGTCCCACACTGCTAAAAACACTATTAGGACACCTATATTTCACTAAAAAGTGTAAATTGGTTGTTTTTGCGTTTTTTCAAGCAAATTCGTACTTCCTGTTTGAAACGAATTTTTGAAGCTGCGTCACGGTCATGACATAATAGCGTGTATTCCAGCGTGCAGACTGGACGTCTGTGCCAGAGTGAGTCTTATTACGTCTTACAGTGTGATACATTAATGCATAAGTAAGGCTTGGTTCAAACCAATCAGCGCGCTCTACTGTGCAACTTCATTAATATTAATTTGTGTCACCGTGTTTACGCCACAAAGACGCCACGTTGTGTTGGCAAAACAAGCGTGAAGGGTTGCTTTTATAGTTTGCTGCCGTTAAGTTTCGTTTTCATTTTCTCTCTGTGAGAGCTTATCTGGATCACGTCTGGATTAACAGTGTACGCGATGCTCGACAACAATAACTTACGTGTCTAAGGAGGATTATTGTTTACCTGAGAGCTGTTCTCATCTGCAAACGCTGAAATCTGGATTTGCTTGTAGTATTCTCTCCATAAAGACGCGGCTCTAGTTGCTGGTGATTGTCCTGTCTCTACAGATTTGGTAAGAGAGCGACCAGTGCTCTTTGTTTATTCAGTTTGTTCGTATCGAATTAAGTTAACTATTGCACTGAGTGCAGAAATGTTAGCACCGCATTTTGTGACCGGAATAACACATTCGGCTTTCTGATTCTACCTGCCGAGTGCATCTAAGTTTCCGGGAAATGCGGAGTTTTTTTTCTTCTCTCATTCGCCGTGCCGTATCAAACATGCATGAAAAATACACGCTTAGAGCAGCTCCTCCAATCAAATATCTTGTTTGTCGCGAGGGGCATGAATGAATTCCCTGAATGAAAGAGCCAAACTGCAGTTAAAGTCCAACATTTAATAATTTGGCAAATAATTCGACTACAGATGTCCATGTAGGTTAAACACTTCTCCTGTCTGTGTGGGTGTGTATTTTGACTCTGAAACTCGCGCGTGCACAAATAGACACTCCCACACCATCCCACTTTAGTTCCTCCGACACTCCCCCCTAAACAGAGGTGGACACGCCCACTTTTCTGACTTTTTCCAAAGTAGAGGTGTGAAAACACCCTGCTGAAACGAGGGGGTTTCATGGCCCTTTAAACGTGATATTTAATTAATCTAGTCTCTATCTAACCACTCTTTGGTCTTTTAAATCTATCAGGTAACGTGTAAAAGCGTCAGTACACTGCTTCAATCTTTCGCTTTCACGCTTGTACTTAGCAAATTTAGCGAAAACTTCAGATACTGTTGGTTGGTTCCTGTTAGTTGTGCACCTTTTTTACCAACCAAGTTTGTGGACGCCATTATAAGGACACAGATCACTCTGCCTATTCATGCCAGAGTCATGCAGGAAAAGTGACTGACAGGCGGAAATTTGTGTGTAACTTATCTTTATTTATTTAGGATTTGGTTATGGGTAAAACAAAGACCATGCAGGTCAGGTAGTTGAAACAGTAGGCTACAAATAATTATTTCGTTATGAATCGTCCATCGCGATGTTTCACAATAGACATTGTAATGCCGAGTTCAGACTGCATGATTTTCAAAGTGGTCGTGTCATAGATGTTTTTACACTGCTTGACTATCTGGGCTAGCGTTTCGTCGCTGCTTTGTTTACACTGCAAGATGGATCAGCGACAGGGACTTTCACAATGCATGACTTCACTATAGGAAGAATCGCCGACAACTTCGTCCAAACTACGTCTCACAGCCAAAAACACGTAGTATATCTTTTGTTATTAACTACATAATGAGAAAGAAGCCTTTAATGGGGTAGAACATGAACATATTTGCTCACCTGGGTTTAAAGGGAATTAGCCATTTCTCCTCAACGTTGATAATAAACTAATTTCTTTCTGTATGAAACGTCAAACAGACACGGTTGCTCCTGAGTCCTGTCAAACCGGCACTAGTTTTTCCTCCATTTCGTGGGTCCAAATAAACCGAAAAAAAGCGCTTTTAACTTTTCCCCCAGCCTCCCGCTGGCCTGCAGCAGGTATACACAAACACACACACAAGTGAATGCTGCTCTCTCATTGGCTGTAGGCGATCGCTGATGTTATTTTCAGTCAAAACTCAATTCACACGGCATGATTTGAATCGCCGACAGCTTTAGATATTTAGCATGTCAAATATCTCGCGGGCATCTGCGACTCATCGGCGATTCTCACAGATCGCGTCTTTGATAGTTCATACTGTGTGATTGTCACTCACGTGCACAAGCAGCGATTTGCCTGTGATTTCAGGCATTTGTCGGCGATTTCTCAAAACCTGTCAGCGAGCCAAAATCGGGGCTAAAATCACGCAGTCTGAACTAGGCATAAGATGCCAAAGTGGTCAACATCGCGCAACCCTAATATATATATACATATACATATATATACATATACATACATATATACATATATATATATATATATACACATATATATATACATATATATATACATATATATACATAATAAAAATATTTCAAAACAGAACTTACCAATTGCGCAGATTTTGTTGTCTCCCACCCAGACTCCAGTATCCGGAGAAGTTGAGGCTTTAATCCCAAATTTACCGCACATCTTGATCACGGTCCTTTCCAGTTCACACACGTACCATCTCACGCTCTTCTTGAAGCAGCCCAGGTTGAGGATGGGGTAACAGACCAGCTGTCCCGGCCCGTGGAAAGTAATGAGTCCTCCTCTGTTGGTGCGGCAGAAATCTGCACCCAGAGCCTTCAGTCTCTGCTCCTCTGCTGGTGGGTACGGAGCCTGTCTGAGACCGATGGTGTACACCGGCTCGTGTTCGCAGAGTAATAACGTGTTTGGGATGTTGCTGGATGAATCCAGATGCTGCTGTATGTGCTGCTGCTGTATTTTCAAGGCACTGTGGTAGGAGATCCTTCCTAGATGAACCGCTTTGACAGCTGCTTTTGTGACCGACATTGTGTCTTTAGATGGGGTTATAAAGCATCAGCTGTGAACATGGGAAAAGACTGTTATTTGCATAAAGTTGTACATGTACAGAGCTGGATGGTAGATGCAGTCTGGATGATGTAGTGAGATTACCAAAATCAAGTACTTTTAAAGTAGTGCAGGCGATATTGCAAAGAAAATCATTGTCATGATATCATGATTCATATTACTCTATATTGATAATTATTTAATATTTTTTATAAATACATTTAGGATTAAGATTTTTTTAACCACTTTATTTTAATTTTGCAACATTACAAAGCAGGGCCGGAGTGGGACTCCTTTTTAGCCCTGGAATTTCAAGCCTCAGACCGGCCCACCTCAGTTCACGACTTGACTATAAAATAAGGTCATTTCCAATTCAGTTTCTAATGACACTATCATGTCTTTTTTTGAGAAAACAGCTGTTTTAGAACTTCAAATGTTCAACAACCCTGACAGTATTATATGTCTTAACAATAAAAATGAAAAAAATTAATTACTCAGCAAGGATCAAGCCCGGGTTGGTGGCGTCGTAACCTAACGTGCTAACCACTGGACTACAAAAAACTGGTAAAATAATGAATAAGAAGATTGTGGTCAAGTATATAAATAAATTAATTTAAAAAGTGTGACTGCTGAGAGCAACAGATTCTGGAGCTAGGGACACCAGCCCTCGCGGCCAAAAAAAACGGACCGGCCCACTGGGAATTCTCCCGCTCCTCCCGATTAGCCAATCCGGGCCTGTTACTAAGGCAAATAGTTTAATATTCAAAAACAAAAATATTTAAACAAAATATCTGATCTCCTTATAATATATATGATTTAACTATTGAAAAAAACAGAAGAAGACTTCGGCATGTTTCGTGGAGTTAAATTTAAGATTTACGTGGGGCTAAAAACTAAGGATTTTTTTGTAATGGCCTGGTTGGACCAATGGAACTGGAAAAAAACAAATGTTGTTATTTCTTAACCACATTTTAATGTGTTAAAACAATAAAACTCCAGTTGAATTTTTTCAACATAATATTTCTTTTTTTTTTACATGTCAAGTTTTACATTGTTTAGAAATTATTTATAATGAAGAAAACCATGAATAAACAAAAATATATATTTGTTTGCTTTAGGTGAAAATGAATTGAGTTTGACTCCGATTCAAGCTAAGGCGAATCTGTTATAAAACCTCAAGTTTCATGCCTACTTATAAATACTATGCCCACTCACTTTCTTCTCTAAATAGTTTATAAGTAAATTGAAGATTATGTATAGGAATATATTGCTTTTATAATGATGAGGAATTGTGTAATAGTTTTTTTTCCTGATTAGGGAATTTAACTGAACAAATCTGCTGTAAAATGTCTAAAAGCTGTTGTGAAGTAAAAATCTCTGCAATAAAAAAAAAATTATAAATAGGTTTTTTAATGATTTAGATAGAATGTTGGTGATTAGATGGGCGTCAGCCTAATTGGGTAACTTTACTTTGATAACTTTTAAAATTAAGACAGGTTTAAAATGATTTAAGACCTACAACACAATATTTCTGTAAATGTAAGACTTTTTAAGGCCTAAAATTTTGTTTTTGAAATGTAAGATATTTTAAGATCCTGCAGACACCCTGTATGTGTGTGTGTGTGTGTGTGTGTGTGTGTGTGTGTGTGTGTGTGTGTGTGTATATATATATATATATATATATATATATATATATATATATATATATATATATATATATATAATTTATTGAATTCAATTTGTAAAAAGGAATTTTAAACATTTGAAATTATTACAGTACATTTAAATTTTTTTTACAAATGTTTTAATCTTTCAAAAAAAATAATTAAAAATAATTACACTGATACCTTAAACATCTTAAAACGTTTGAAAGGAAAAAGAAAACAACCTGAAGCATTTTATGAGTAAGCAATTACTAACTGTAATTTCCTGATTTGACACCACCTTTAACAACAGATCCATCGAATACAGGAAAAATAAACATAAACTGATGCTGAACGCTCAAAACCCCGAAAAATTAGTAAAAGAACTGTCATTTCTTACTGTACGCTGCCATGCCTCCAGTACACCTCTTACTCTGCTTTAACTCCAGAGGGTGAGGGTGAAGGCGAAATACCTGATGCATTACTGCCACCTACCGGTTTGGTGCGACACCTACTAAACTGCGTCTTTTTTATAGTGTTGAGGAAAAATGTCTATAGGCCTAATATATAGAGCACTTTGTTTAGATACATTATTAACTGTATTAATAAGTATGGTCAACAGTTTATTATACATTTATAGAAGTATTTTTTATATAAATGATCCAATAATTAAAGTGAAATAACTTGTGAATGTAAGAAAATCTAAATAGGCCATGGATATTCATATGTATACTTATTCATTTAACAGTTCTTTATGTTTTACGATTCAGAGTTATGTTTTTGAATAAAAATCTACATTTTTTCCCTTAAAATACAAATCACAATATCTTCCACACACAATATATAAAGCTGTATAGAAGATTTTTAGCTGTATAGACACATTCAAATACATTTTCTCTGTCTAAAAAGAAGTTAATCAATGTCTTAGTGGTTTTAGAAACATGTCAACAACTTTATTTATATTAATTTTCTTCATATACCCCTAAATTTGTTTAGTCCTAAAAGGACTTTTTCATTTTTACTCGATGCACAGATTTTTGTGCTTTTGAATTATTTTTCTAAAATGTGGATAAAAAAGTACACAAATCTTTAGAAAACATCGTAAAATGTAAAACATATATATATATATATATATTTGCATTTCTATAGATTTTATAGTTAAAAATGAACTCACCATCTTGCCTTGAGAGCACGTCACCTAATGTGTGCTGAATCTGATGTCTCCTTTAGTTTGAGTTTTTTAAGTATGCAAAGCAAATGGCAAATATCTTTTTTTATTGGCTAAAGTAGTTGTCATGTGACATTACTAAGATTGAATTTTATTGGTTAAATATTTGTATATATACAGGTAATTAGGCAAGTCATTGTTTAACGATGGTTTGTTCTGTAGACAGTCGAAAACAAAATTAGCTTAAAGGGGCTAATAATTTTGTCCTTAAAATGGTATTTACAAAATTAAAAACTGCTTTTATTCTAGCCGAAATAAAACAAATAAGACTTTCTCCAGAGGAAAAAATATTATCAGACATACTGTGAAAATGTCCTTGCTCTGTTGAACATCATTTGGAAAATATTTAAAAAAGAAAAATAATTTCAAAGGGGGCTAATAATTCTGACTTCATTTGTGAATATAGAATCAGTAAGTAAAACAAAATACAATAATAGAAATATTAGACAATTTGCTAGGCCTAGCTAACTCTCAATAACTTAAATGTAGCAAACACACAGTTTGTACAGCTTTTTTGCACTATCCTTATGCAGGGACCCTCAGTTATAAGAGATCCATAAACTGATCCTTGTGTGTCAAATAAGAGAGACATACAAAATGTGCATGAGGGCGTTAATGGTACCTACATAAATATCTAGTTCCTTAAGTACCTACTTTAGAAAGAGGTTTCTGACTGCTGAATTTATGACGGATATGAAACTTAATGAGTATAATCAAAAGACTGATAAAGTAAACTTCTTATCATAGTTAAAAAATGTTTTACAGCACTGTATCATTTCTAAATGTATATACACCATAACCTTTTTGCATACTGACAATGGCAGAATATATAAGGTACTGTTTCTGGATAACTTGACATTTATGTCTTCGGTAAATCTGGTTTTAAAAACATTTGTAATGAGATATTTATTAGGGAATACCCAAACCTTCCTCCAATTAATATTTTGAATAAACTTAGACCAACAGAAAGCGTCATGATTGTTTACTAAACAGTTTCTAAGTGGAATAATTGTAAATATTTACTGTATTTGTCGCTCCACAGCTGCACGTGACGTCATGGCCGGGCGGGGCTTGTTTTCAAACCCAGGCACATACCAATGAAGATGGCGGCGGTGGGGTCCGCCAAATCCACTGGACCGGGGCAGAGAAGCAAAAGCAGGCCTGGCGCGCTCTCAGCTCCGCTGTCTCTGGAGGAGGCTCGGTGCCCAGTGTGCTCGGAGATACTCCTGGAGCCGGTCACGATGCCGTGCGGCCACTCGGTGTGCCTGCATTGTTTCCAGCGGACGGTGAAGTTGATCAGCCTGTGCTGTCCGCTGTGCCGGTTGCGAGTGTCCAGCTGGGCCCGTAAACAGTCCCGGGAGAAGAGCCTGGTCAACGCCGAACTGTGGGAGCTCGTTCGGCTCAGCCACCCAGAGCGCTGCAAGCGGAGGATGGAGCAGCGGGACGGAGAGATCCCGGACGGGGGTCAGTGCTCAGACTTCTGACGTGTTACATAAGCTCGAGTTTGAAATTATTATTTACGACAAATCGCAGCATGTCATAACAGTTTACCAAGCTCAGCTGCCTTTATGTGTCAGTAACTTGTCTATTAGTTACTTATTTTTCGTGTCTGCACTCGACGGAGTACCGATGAAACGGTTAGAAAAGTGGATTTTAATGTTTCAAAACTGGAAATTCGAAAGAAAACAGCGATGTTTTGTTGGGGGGCGTTCACAGATGACGCGTTAGCTCGGTGTGTGTGTGTGTGTGTGTGTGTTTTTGCTCTGTGTACAAATGTACAGTAACGTTAGCGTCGCGTCACAGCTTTGCGTTTTCAAGTTAGACAAAATACAATATTTTGGGTGTTTAACGATGTATTCTGTTGTCCATTGTAAGACAGATTTTGGTAGTCATTTTACCAAACAAGTTAACATAAACAGCTGAAGCAGAGTACGCACGGTGTCTGTTTGGTAATTTGAACTGCTCAGAGTTCAGTCTGTTTTCTAACTTAAGCGCGTTATGATTGGATACTGTGGAACCGAGTTAAAAATGTTGACAGATTAAATAATTTAGACATATATATATAAATATATATATATATATATATATATATATATATATATATATATATATATATATATATATACTGCTTGTTTTAAATTTTAAAGAGCGCTTCCTACCCACACCTTGCAACTTTACAGTCGTGCAATTTATACTGTAGTACAATTTATTAACATGTTATTTTCTGCATCTACACTCCACAGCGTGCCAGTGAAATGGTTAGTAAAGAATATTTTTAATGTTTCAAAACTGAAAATGCAAAAGAAAACTGCAGTTTTGTTGGGGGGCGTTTACAGATAATTTGTACAGTAATGGGGTATATGCACACACACTTTTATTTTCAGTCAGTCAGCCCTAGTGCTTCCGGTGGATTGTCATCCCATACAAAATTGACATGTTTAAGATAGTATTTCTTAAAAAAAACAAATAAATAAACTGTGATCGTCACTGCCTGGCTGATATACGATAGAAAGTAGGTATCAGACCAAACAAGAAGCACTGCATTAAATTATATTTTTCTGCGCCATGTCTTTATAATATGGAAATTAATTTTACTCCTGTATTTTCAATGGAATTTATGCTCAAACCTGCTGCTAATGACAGCATCTGTCTTTCATTTTTTTTACGCTTTAAAAACCAAATGGATGCTTAAGTGTGCTTAACTGATTATATTTAATTTACATTACAACATTGATGCTGTAAAAGGAACCTTATGAAATTGAAAATAGTCACATAAAGCTTTCACTTTAAGTTCATCATTGGCTGAAAAACACTTGGTGTGCATTTAGCACATTGAGGCACATTTGGTTTCATATTCACACATTGATTCATTTTTTAACAGTGACATCTTGTGACACTGTCCCTATTGTTTATCATGCTACTTTGAATATTCGGTCTAAAAACCGAATGCACTTATGACTTCCTAAACAACATTAGCACTATTTAATTGCTAATGTGTGAACAATGTTGTACTTTGAGAGTTATGGGCTTTTAATATGCTCTCCCTATTTACAATTTTCAAAGAATACTTTTCTAAAATTATATATTTTTAAGAGAAAGGTTCGAATTTGTGAATATAAACCAACTTAACCAGAATTGTACAGTAACGTTAGCGTTGCGTTTTCACGTTAGACAAAAAAACAAAAACAAATTTTGGGTGTTAAACGCTGTATTCTGTTGCCCACTAAAGGTGAAAGATTTTAGTGGTAATTTTATCAAAACAAGCTAAAATAAACTGTTAAAGTATGTATGGTGTGTGTTTGCAGATTTGAACTGTTTAGTCTGTTTTCAAACATAAACATATAATTGGATGCACTGTAGAACCAAGTCAAATCTTGCCTAATGATTTCATTTAGACTTTATAAAGTATTTTCTAAATATTAAACTGCTTGTTTTAAAATTAAACAAAAATACTTCCTACCAACACCTTACAAACTTAACCAAATCATTTGCTATACAGTCCCAGTGTAGCAGTACAGTATCCTGCTGCCTGTGTGATTATTACTGGTTGCTTGGATGAGTGGTAACTTGCCCAGACATGTGTGTCCAGTGGGAGGAGACAGTGAGAGAACTGAGGTTACAGAGAGCATCAGATGGGTTTATCATGCTGTTTGGTAGTGTGGGAACGGGTCATTTTGGTCATCTTGGGTAATTTTTAATTTAATTTTTTTTAGAAATATTTCGGGCACCTGTACCAGTTCATAAGGTTGGAGAAATGCGTCAAGAGTACGAGAAGCAAAAGATGAAGGTAAGTTAGAGACACTGCTAAGTCAATCGTTACACTTGTTTACATATAGGCATATGTTAGTATAAAATATTCTTGTTACAATAATATCGCAATATTGACTTCCAAAAAGATTGCTTTAACTTGTATATTAGCTAAAATTTTTAGTGCATATTGCTTTATTGCATATACATATTTTAGAATGAGTAAATGGTTTAAACCACAGGTTTCAAACTTAATCCCTGGAGGGCCGCAGCTCTGCACAGTTTTGCTCCAACCCTAATCAAACACAGCTGCTCCAACTAATGAAGGCGTTCATGAATCTTTTGGACACCTCAATTATTTCAGCTGAACACCTTGATTATTTCAGCTGTGTTCGATAGGGTTGGAGCAAAACTGCAGAGCTGCGGCCTTCTAGGAATTGAGTTTGAGACCTATGGTTTAAACTAATTAAACTTAAAAGAATGATCGAGTACAGTAAGTAGCACATTACAGTCTTAAGTTCAGGGGTGCCCAAACTTTTTCATATGAAGGGCCAAATTCAAAATATCATTTGAGAGCCGTGGGCCAAAAATAAATATACCAAACTATATTAAATTAAAGTTGCCATGTTAATTTTCTAATTAATTTCATAATATTTATAAATAAATAGAAAACATTATATTAAATCGTATGAACTAATGCAGTATAACTTTAATGATCACATATTGAAGTAAAAACAATCACATTTATAACAGTGTAGTTCAATGCTGAATACACTAGTCAAGCACAATCTGCCCTTGCCTTGATTCACTCAAGTCTCTGCATTGTCCTCTATCCGTCCGGTGACGGTATGTAAATTTGTAACTAAATATGATTAATTTAAACCATTTAAATTGAAACATTTATTTTCAGTTAGTTTTTTTTGTAACTTAACAATAAAACAAACCAATAAACGGTTGAAATTAAAATCTCTAAACCAGCACCCCTTAATTCATCCTCTCTTCTCAGATGGGACGGTGGGCCAAATCAAGGGCTACCATGAGCCAACTTTGGCCCGTTGGTCCTAGATTGGGCATGTCTGCTCTAGTTAATGCATTAAAATCAACATTGAGAAATAGCCATATTATTATATTATATATTATTTATATACATATGTTAAAGATAAGCATAATTTATAATTTACTAATGTGTTTATAATAACACTTTATAAGTAAGCTATATTTAATAAAAAATTATCGTGGTTTGATTTTTATGTATTATTAAGCATTAGCTAAGCAATTAACATCACCTAATATCTGTTGATATTTTTCAAAACAACTTATTGCAGTGTTAAGGGTTTATAAATATCAATATGTAAACATGTTACTCAAAAATAAACATGAGTTATGGTTGTGACTAAAAATACACCATACTTTCTAGAAATTCTGTGAATTAAACTGCACAACTTGAAAGAAATAATAAGAAAAGGATAAGAGTTGGCTTACTATTGACCTTATTCTCCGCAGACGAGCGGGCGCTGCCATTTGAACCTTTTTGGCACGAGACTTCCGGTCTCATTCACTTCCATTCATTTTTAGACATTAAAAACTGCTCGTTTCGCTGTTTGATGTTGCAAACTGATATTTCCTTGTTATATTATTCTACTTGGTTTGTATAGTCATGCAAACATTTGTTGGTAGAGCAAGTAGTTTGACCGTTTTTTGCCGTTTATTATTCCTTGTCATTTCTCCCATAGGCGACTGAAACGGAAGTTCAAAGACAATTGCGAAAACAGGCGCACTTCCGCATTTTAGAATAAGGTCAATAGAAAAAAATTATTTTATTTCACATTGGCACGTGTGACTTTGGTAAATCAAATAAATTGCTTAAGGATTTTACAGTATTGTAAAACACAAGCCTACACTAATGACAATTTTGGTGTGTTTTTTTTATTATTATTATAATCCGTAATTGTGATGATTGTAATTTTATCCTGCCGTATGTCACTAATAATTTGTTGTGTTGGTTAATTCAAAGACATGATATATTACTATTATAATGTAAAATAAACAAACACAATAAAAAAAATGTTCATGGCAAGGCAGACTTTGCATGCAATCCTTTGTTTCTCACTTATTTTAGTATTTTATCTTCTCAAAAGTTATTTGAAACATAATAGTAAGTATTTTTAATTCATATGTTTTCTATATATTTTTTTTCAGAGTGGACGCAGTGAAGAAACCGATGAAAGAAAGAAAAAAATGCATATAAAAGAAGAGTGTGTGCTGCTGAAACATTGTCAATATCCTGTACGTTTTTAATTATATCATTGCTTGGGTCTAAATCAGCACAATATTGATATATTTAGGGGGCCGATCACACCGAACGCGCTTTTTGTGTTGAGAAGTACCTTTTTTAAAATTGGTTTACTAATGCCTAGTTCAGACTGGGTGATTTTAGCCCCGATTTTGGCTCGCCGACAGGTTTTGAGTGATCGCCGACAAATGCCTGAAATCACAGGCAAATCACTGCTCGTGCACGTGAGTGACAATCACACAGTATGAAAGTTGGAGCAACCGTGTCTGTTTGACGTTTCATACAGAAAGAAATTAGTTTATTATCAACTTAAGTTGAGGAGAAATGGCTGATTCCCTTTAAACCCAGGTGAGCAAACATGTACAATGTTCTACCCCATTAAAGGCTTCTTTCTCATTATGTAGTTAATAACAAAAGATATACTACATATTGTTGGCTGTGAGACGTAGTTTGGATGAAGTTGTCGGCGATTCTTCCTATAGTAAAGTCATGCAATGTGAATGTCCAAGTCGCCGAACCATCTTGCAGTGTAAACAAAGCAGCGACGAAACGCTAGCCCAGATAGTCAAGCAGTGTGAAAACATCTGTGACACGACTAGTTTGAAAATCATGTAATCTGAACTCGGCATAACGTCCATGACCGTTTTGCGCACTGCTTATTCGCCCTGCTCACCTCGTATTTGGACCGCCTGCTGCGCCTTGCGTTTTTGCCTTTGCGCGCCGTGCGCACGCAGTTGAAAAAAGGTAAACTGTGAGCGGATAAAGAGCGTTACGTCACTCTCGTCTTTTTCATTCTCCAATCAAAGGAAAGCACAGGCGGGGTTTCCGTTTAGGCGCCTGCTGTGTTTGTGTTGTCAAGACAACACCGGAGACTTTTGAAGATGAAGGAGAGACTTGGGCTGTTTCTCAATACCAAGTACGCAAAGTTTGGACTTGCATCCTTGGAAGTTAGGGTTAGACTTGCCAAGTTCACACTTGGAAGAATGAACTACCGAGGACAAGAGGAAACAAGTCGGGTACTTCTTCAAATGAAACGGCAATGTACTTTATAACATCACTTATCTCATCATAGATTCATCGATTTCACTGTACATTAACAATAAAATGATTTAATTATATAAAGCACGGCCCTGTAATTAATATTATATTATTGTTAAGAATTAATATGTTTGATTTAAGAAAATATAAAGCAGCTAATTCCATGGTTGCCAAGTGACATGACTTCTTTTTTTCTTGTTAAAGGGGTGGTCAACTACGATATCCTATTTTAAACTTTAGTTGATGTGTATTGTAACTGTGTCAACTTAAACATCTCTGAAAGTAATATGCTCAAACTTCAATGCAATGAGAAACATTGGCTTTTACCGAGTTAGCTTAGCAAAGCCTACAGTGAACGAAGTTTGAGGATGAAAAATACATCCGGGTTAATGTTATAAACCCTTCAGGTTACGCACACACTCCGCGCAGCGAAGGGGCGTGGCCAGAGGCACTGTAATGTTATAACACTGTAATGTTGCTTCCTGGTGATGTGGAGCTGATCTGCGAATCACAGCACATTATGTTAGCTGACTAATCAGAGCCTCTTGATGGCGGGTCTTCAGAGGAACTAGGAAATATGACAGTCGTTATCATGTTAGCTGAGTAGCTGTATGTAATCAAAGTAGGATATATAAAAAAATAACATGATTTTCTACAAACGAAGCATGAGCATACATTGCTTTGCACCCCATAAACACAACCAAGCCTTAAAATTACACTGTGGACCACCCCTTTAACAAAAAAAAAAAAAGCCAGTGCGGTATTCTCAGATAGGAAAAGTGCATTTGGTGTGATCAGCCTCTTAATGTTTTTATTTTATGAACTGTTGAGTTCTGTTTCTTTTATTTTTTTATCTTACACTGAATTTACTATGTTGCAGTTTTGTGGAGTGTCAGACTCTGAGAATGAAGAGCCGGTAGGAAGGAGGACCAGACACGTTTCAGCATTTGTACGAAAAACAAGATGCTCACCTGCCTTCAACAAAAGGTAATAGTCTTGTATTCATTACTATAAAGAAAAAAAATCTATTATCTATTTTTGCTGATTGATTTCAACAAGATTTCTTAAAGGCGTAGTTCACTCACTAATGAAAAGTTTTTAATGAATTTCTTCTGTTGAACACAAAACATGATACGGTGCTTAGTATAAATGAGTACACCCCATACTGATCTAGCTTTTAAATTAATATTTTCTATAGGATTCATTCATTCATTCATTTTCTGCCGCTTTTCCGGGGCGGGGTCGCAGGGGCAGCAGTCTTAGGAAAGATCCCCAGACTTCCCTCTCCCCAGACACTTCCTCCAGCACCTCTGGGGGGATCCTGAGGTGTTCCTAGGCCGGCCGAGAGACATAGTCCCTCCAGCGTGTCCTGGGTCTTCCCCGAGGCCATCTCCCGGTGGGATATGCCTGGAACACCTCCCTAGGTAGGCGTCTAGGAGGCATCCGAAACAGATGCCCAAGCCACCTCAGCTGACTTCTCTCGATGTGGAGAGGCAGCGGCTCTACTCCGAGCTCCTTCCAGGTGTCAGAGCTCCTCACCCTATCCATAAGAGTGCGCCCTGCCACCCTTCGAAGGAAACTCATTTCGGCCGCTTGTATCCGAGATCTTGTCCTTTCGGTCATGACCCAAAGCTCATGACCATAGGTGAGAGTAGGAATGTAGATTGACGGGTAAATCGAGAGCTTTGCCTTTCGGCTCAGCTCCTTCTTCACCACAACGGACCAGTACATCGACCGCATTACTGCTGCACCAATCCGCCTGTCAATCTCATGTTCCATACTTCCCTCGCTTGTGAACAAAACCCAGATATACTTAAACTCCTCCATCTGGGGTAAGGACTTTCCTCCAACCTGGAGATGGCAAACCACCTTTTTCCGGTGGAGCACCATGGCCTTGGACTTGGAGGTGCTAATTCTCATCCCAGCTGCGCCACACTCGGCAGCAAACTGCCCCCTATAGGATGCTTTACAATAATATGTACATGCATATTTTAGCTAAGTTTCCACCCACCAATTTTTTTTCACATATGAGCAAAAAACAAACAGTTGATGGAAATGCCATGATGCGTATACATTTTGAAAATGTGCATTAAAAACATATGCGCAAAACAGAGTAAGACAAACTTTTTATTCGATAAAAAAAGATGCGCATAAACTACGATGGGAACACTTTTACCGAACAAATTTCAGTGTGCGCATTTAAAAAAGGTTGTGTGATTTTGCTATGAGAGATCATGTGATGATAAAATATGTGTGAATAAATAAACCAGCAGACTGAGCACATTGTAAAACATCTGAAATGTTGTTTTGGCTGTTATAAAACACCTCAAACATTACAGTATTAGTGCTATTATATTAATAATGACCTCCAGAATCAAGAGCATCTGTGCTGCGAGTTTCACGCCTTCAAATGCCACGCCACGACGCATTCACTGCTTGTCAGGATTGCCTTCTGAGGCGCAAGTCGAACAAAGAAAAAGATTAAATAATAAAAAGATTTGCGCAGCATCTCCTACCGCAGCAAATTCCGTTTTTAATGTTGATAGTTGGCGCCAGATAATTAGGAAGTGATGATTTGTTCTTGTTGCTTTGACTTGGATGGAAACGCTGCTTTATTCGCATATCTTTTATGCGATAATCCTGTTTTGCGCATAAATTCATTTTTAAATGGAAACATAGCTAGTGTCAAAGCCAAAATGGGACATGATTAAGTAAAAAACTTAACATCACTGTCCAAAAATTTGCACACTTAAATTATTATTTTGGGTTATAGTGCATAAAAAATGCTTTTCTTACTTAGGGTTTTGCTTATGTTTCCAATACAAATATCCAAAAAAAATTGAGAAGCATTTTCTAGAAGAGCAAAAAATATTGTTTGTTTTCAATCAAAATTAAGTGAGTTTTTCCTTAAAAAAGCAAACTAACCTGCCAATTTTTAAGAGCAATATCTGCTTCAAAATTACACAGAGACATGGGGATTGGCACTTTTCATTGATGTAGTAGTGGATAGCTACGTGCTAATTATGAATAACTATGTGCTATGGCTACATGAAGTTTTTATTATCATTTTAAAAAAAAAACGATATTTCATTTTATATATATATATATATATATATATATATATATATATATATATATATATATATCAGAATTTTATTGTCATTGTACAAAATACAACTAAATTTCCGTTTGCCCTTCCCTTCAGTGCCGTCCTTATTGTCTAAAACAACATTAATATTAACAAGAGATAAAAAGGTAAAAAGGCAACAATAATTATAAAAGTAGTAACAATACAATGTTAGAAGTGCATATGTAGCAGCTTTTATGTTTAAAAGTGACTAAAATGTTGGAAAGAAAAAGGCATACAAGTTAATGTCCATGCGTATAAAGTGGCTAGTGCATTTCCTAGCAGCTTTCAAGTTAAAAATTGAGTAAGATTTTGGCCGGAAACACACAATTTAATGTCCATTCAATATTGCTACAGCCCTGTACTTTTGTACATGTACTTTTTTTTTTTAGTCTGTTTGTTTTGGTTTTTATGGTACTGTATCACCTCCCCGGAGGTAACAAATAGTTGGTGTGTTGGATAGGATGAGTTCTTCCGTATGCTGCGTGCTTTGCTGTAGCAGCGGGCTATGAACAACTTTTCTAAGGAGGGAAGAGCGATGATTTTGTGCGCTGTGTTGATAACCCTTTGGAGGGCAGCTTTTTCCTGGACAGTGCAGCTGGCATACCACACTGGGATGCAGTACGACAGCACACTTTCAGTGCTGCATCTGTTAAAGGACACTAGCAGTTCTTTGGCCAAGTTGTTGTTTTACTAGCACCCTCAAGAAATGGATTCGCTGCTGTGCCTTTTTGACCAGTGCTATGGTGTTGGTTTTCCATGATATATTTTGATCCAGATGCAAGCCCAGATACTTGAATGCCAACCAAAGAACTCTTTAATTTTATAGACTTCAAATCATCCCTTCAAGTAATGGAATCTTCGGAAAAATATCCTTTGATTGACAATATTTTAACCAACAGAGTTGTATCATGTTTTGCTTGTTACACAAATTGTTCCCTCAATGATTAATTTCCTGATTTCAAGGTGTTGCATGGGAGTTAAACATCAGTACTGTCGCTGTGTTTTATTATAGTTGTCTTCATAGCAGTGCTGCTCAGAGGAGCAGGAGTTGTACGGATTCTGAAGATGGAAGAGGAAAAAGCAGAGGTCACACAAATCAAGCTGTTCCTGAAAAGGTATAATATCTCGCCTGTTGCCTGAAAAACACCATCAGTTGTTTAGCTTAAATCAGTCGTGTTGTTTTTTTTTTCCAGATTTAGTTGAGGAATGTTAAATGTTTTAGCAAGTTAAGCTATGTGGTAGCATTCCGCAGACATGGGTAGTGTGCATTTGGCTTAAAGGTAGGGGCTGTACAATTAATCAGAGTTAATCTTCATGTTCTGTGTATATTGCGCTATAATGAAAATCAATTCAAAAGTATTCGATAATACAATACTGGATCTATAAAATAAGGCAGGTTATTGATGTTTGCCTGCTTGCATGATGTAATCCTCTCTGCGCCAACAGGGTTCGAAGAGGTATGCATTTATATTTTGATCGTAATGTTTGGACTGAACAATTTGATTGGACAGACTTTTCTCAGTCCTACACAATACTAAAATACATTCGGACCAGTATGCTAACAGGATGTAAAGAGACTTCCAAGCATCCGGATAAAAATTGTTTCTGAAGACAATCACCTATTGCAGGGGTGTCAAATTCAGTTTCTGGAGGGCCACAGGTCTACGCAGTTTATTTCCAACCCTATTTTAACACACTCATGGTGCACTTACGCTATGCTCTCCGAACCTTGCCCAGATTTCCCAGTTCGTTTGACAACTGTGAGAGCTTCAAATCGAGCTCAGGCATGGTCCAGTTGGTAGAGGTGTGCCAAAGCGTGGTTCAGTTGGGCTTTGGCGCGGTATGCTTGTAGAGTGAGTACAAGGCATACCTGAGTCTGAAACTGAAGACGCGATGTCACTTTTAAGGGACTTTTTAAGGGACAACTGTAATAGTTTATTAAAGACTGGCAACTGTACTTAGTGCAAGTACACCCTTACCTAAAGGTTTCAAACAAGCCTAAAGGACTCGATTAGTTTGATTATGCATGTTTAATTAGGGATGGAACTAAACTGTGCGAAGCTGTGCGCCTTTGGGAGCTGAATTTAACACTAGTGACGTATTGCTTCTTTAACAACAGACATATTTAAAATCATTTAGCTATTGTTACTCTCTGTGATATTACTGTACCAATTTGTCTCTTCTCTAGGCTAACATCGCTCATAGTTACAACGCTGGAATCCTCCTGTCCTCTGAGAACAGCCGGTCCTTCTCAGCCCCTTTGCTCAGTCTAGATAAGAGACACCATTGGCGGGGCATCCACACCTCATCTGCCACCCTTGTGCTTCAGACAAAACCAGAGAGGTCCATTAGCCCCGAGAGCAACGACAGCATATCGGAAGAACTCAACCATTTCAAGCCTATCGTCTGCTCACCATGCACTCCGCCTAAAAGGTTGCCCGATGGGCGACTCTTGGAACCAATGATCGTAAAATCAACCCCCAGGAACTTGACCCGTGCTTTACACAAGTCCACAAGCTACGAGGCTAGTCCGACCATCTTGCAGAAGTGGAAGCAGATTGAAGTTGATCGTCAGTGCATCAAAGTGACCTCAAAAGGTACGGTTACAAGTCCGATCGCAGAGGATCTTAACCTTAAACTGAGTCCCGTCGAAGAACGGGACTGTCAACCATGCAGCTGTTCTGTAGCCAAGGACCGATTGCTGGATCTTCAGTGCATTTGTGGTTCAAATGCACACAAGTCAAAGAGTCGGAAGGATAAACCTATAATCTATAATAAGCGACGGCTTATATTTGATCCGTATAATAAAGGGGAAGAAAAAACACAAGTTGCAGCTCTGATCAAAACATTTGGAGATTCTTCAACCCCTAAAGCATGTAAGGAACTCTGTGAACCCTCAGAAATGGGTCCACCAATGCTTGACAGTAACGCTGGACATTGCAATCAAGGTACTGTAGACCCGGATCATAATATAAAGATAAATGAGCCTACCACTATGAGCTGTGTACTTAACAGACCTACCTCAAGAAGGGGCAAAAAAAGAAGCCAGAAAACCAAACACATGGAGGAAACTCTACAGACGAAAATATCCCGGACAAACCGCTATGACAGTCTTGATGATCTGATTGTCCAGAGAATGAGTCAAGAAAAGGAGGACCGAGAACTGGCTCTAAAGCTTCAAAGACAGTTTGACAGAGAGTGTAAAAAAGTGGACAGGCATAAAACAAGTCGTAACAAATATGAACTCCGGTCCTGGGGTTCCAAAGATGGGATAGTAGGATACAACACACGCAGATCAGGAAGAGTCTCCAAACAAAATGAGCACTTTAACTATACCTGTTAAAGGGACCTACGGTTATGGTGGAATTTTATTGTAGTGTTTCGTCAGTCATAAACATTTTCTTTGGGCACTACAGAGACTTTCTAACATCTGTACAAGTATTGCTAGACAAGGTATTTACTTTTTTTGACTTTAGTAGATGGGCTTCATCCAAAGCAACTTTCGTCAATCAAGTCCACCTAACGCAACCCAGGGTTAAGTGCCTTTACTTTAGGGCACAGTGGTCAACGAGCAGGATTGGGCAAGTTTCCCATTTATATGGATCAGCACCAAAAGCTGCAGTGTTTTGTTTCCAGCTTGGTAACTTTATCAAGCTTCTACTCAAAAGGAAAGGAACTATGGTATTTGGGGATACAAATTATGTACAGAAGTCTATACACCTTAAGAACTCTGTTAGTCAAGCCAGGACATATTACTTACAATCTTTCTGCTCATCACAATCACTTTTTTCATTGTTTTAAGTTTATCATAGGACAGTTGTTACAATTTACATTTTAAACGAATGTTTTTAATTGTGGCATAACCCTTTTTTTGTTTGTTTCTTCATTTCTTGTTTCCAGTCCTTGGGACGTATCCTTAATTTACCCATAGATCAATCAGTTTTCTTTCCTTTTGGCTTACGAAATCCTTGGGGGAAGAGTAATATTATTCTAGCTTTAGGCCTGAAAACCACTCTACACAAGTACAAAGACGCAAATGCTTGGTCAACAGTTTGCAAGAAAAGTCTTATAGGTAAACTGATTCTTGTTGTACTATGGCGGAAATAAACCTAAGTATTGATAGGATTGCCTTCAAACAACTTTATTTTGTGCCATTAATCAGAATGTATTATTTATTTATTTTTGGCTAGCTGTAAACATGTTAGTATTAAAGCAAGGCCATTTGAAGATTAGATTTACCCAAACTGAAAATTATGTTATTAATCACTCACTCATAAATTGTTACAAACCTCTGATACCTTTGTTTGAGATACAAATTTGAATAAACTCTGAGTGCTCCCTCATCCTCCACATTCAGCAACAGTCACAGGACTGTGTAAAATATACCAAAAAACTTTCTCAAAACAGACCTTTCAGTGGTTCAAACAGAATCTTATTAAGCTACGACAATCCTGCGCACACAACTAAAGATAGCTTTATTCAGCCATTTTTCCCCCTCATTAGGTATGTTTCCATAAAAAAATGCTAATTAACTTTATGCCAAAACTGAATTATCGCATAAAAGACATACGAATAAAGCAGCGTTTCCATCCAACAAGTGAAAGTGAACAAAATCGTCACTTCCTGATTATCTTGCGCCAAAATCAACATTAAAAACGGAATTTGCTGTGGTAGGAGAAGCTGCGTGAATCTTTTCTTCATTTATTAAATGACTTGTGCCTCAGAAGGCAATCCTGACATGCTATGAATGTGCGGTGGCGTTTTAAAGGTAATTATTTATATAATAGCACTAACACTGTAATGTTTAAGGCGTTTCAGAATGACCAAAACAACATTTCCGATGTTTTACAATGTACTCAGCCTGCTGGTTTATTCATTCGATCATATTTTTTTTATCATCACATAATGTCTTGTAACAAAATCACAGGACCTTTTTTATGCACATACTGGAATTTGTTCTTTAAAAATGTTTCCATTGCAGTTTATGCACATCTTTTCTTATCGAATAAAAAGTTCTGCGCATTTTACCTGTTCGATCTACCTTTTTTATGTGCATATCCAAAATGCGCATAAAAATAGGTGAATGGAAATGTAGCTAGTGTCAGTGTAGGGCACACATTCGCGAGAGTGCTCTGTATACGTATTAATATTTTGATTTATGTGCACTCAAAAGGAATCTCGTAGCTTCATTAATGGATCGATTAAACCACTGATGAGGCAAATGGTTTATTTTTAGAATGTTTTTTCTTCTGGACTTTGAACAAGCTGGAACTGTTGATATCTATGGAGAATAAGGAAGCTCTTTGATTTTATGTAAAATATCTTAATTTGTATTCCAAACTTAAGACAAACAAAGGTCTCGTGAACGACATGTGGGTGAGTAATTAATAGCCATACTTTTAATTTCTAGGACAACTTAACCTTTCAAGATAGCCTCTATGAACAATATTGCGACACACAGGATTCTGTTTACTGCACTTCTCATTTATTTCTATATTAGCCGCAAGCAGAGACAGTTTTAACGATGTCAAAGCATTTTTGATTGGTTTATGAGGTAACTGGTATGCTTTGCGTCACTGTTTGTTGCTGTATTTACTAAATGGGTGCAAGAAACATGGTTATAAGTAGTTCACCAGCAAAACGGAGAACTTAGTAGACAGTGGTTATAGCCAACGACTGCTATAGTGCCCCTTGTGGCACTGCTGAGAATGCCTCAGTTGTGTTGTATTTTATGTATTAAATAGCTGGTATTTGCGTTCACATGTTTTGTGTATAGTATGTTTGGGGCCTAAATGTACATGTTTTACATCATTAATTAAATTGCTATAAAAACAGTTTCAAATGACAATTTTAAGAGATATTAGTCGACAATATTAACATAGTCGAAATTGGTTTTATTTAAACTTTCCAAACTTTAATAAATTATGATTCTGATTGAAATTTTATAACCAAATAAACATATTTGGAGACTTCTGTAAAAGATTTGCACGTAACACCTCTAGGAAAAATCTAGCATGCTTCATTTGGCAAAAAAAAAAAAACATTTCTTAAATCAGTTTTATTTTTCTGTCATTGTATTTTCGGAGTTTGTCCATATGTCAAGTTTTAGATTAATGTTGACGTAATTGTAAGACACTACTCTTAAGGGCTACTTTCATTTCAGGACTTTGTTTACTAGAGAGATCTATTTTGTGACTTGCGTCTGCCAAGAAAGCTTTAATCATCTTATTTTTGCTGAAAAAATGATGCCCAGTTGGACCACATGTATATGCGCATGCATTTACTTTCACCTTCATTTACCTTGATCCTATTTTTTCGTTCCTTTTTCTTACTGATTATTACATCCTGTAAACTTCTTGGTAATGTGCCAACATTTTCCTGTAGGTAATTTAAGTTTTTACACAACTCTGTTGGTTACAGGATGTACTATTGGAAAAAGATCAGATTGATTTTTATGCATTACTGTACTATTTTGGAAATACGACTGTACGGCTGTATTGATACTGATGCAAAGATGATAGTACAGATTGTTTCTGACCGGCTTTCAAAGCACTTGGATTGTCTTCCATTGTTGAAAGGTATTGCTGGATTTAAAAGAGAATATGTTTGAATTCAGTGGAGATGTAAAGCACACATATTTATTATATTGTAAAAAAAAATGTCATGTTTGTTTTTAAATTTTGCCTTTTACCAATTCACGTCATCAGAACACTGAGCATTTCTAGCTGACATGACAGGAATTAAATGTAGCATCCATAAAAAAAAGTACCTTTTGCCTTTTTGTGTTTGTAATGAATATTTAAAGAATTGTTTTCGACACATCTCATTAGATGCTCAGGAGAGTAATGTTTTTCAGTCAGTAAGCATATATGCCTTGTTTTCTAATGACGGACATTTACTCTTTCATCGACTTTTTTATCGATAAAATCGCCAGTCTTTCTTTCCATTTCTGTCATCTTTACCTTGAAGGAATTAACTGAAGAAAAGATGAAAAAAATCTAATAAACGATTATGACATCTAAATGTGAACTACAGGAGTGTCCCTTTATTTAAAAACTTTAACATATTATGTGTATATATAGCTTTGCAAATACCTGTGCGGGAAAGCTGTCAACAGGTCAGCTTTTTTATTGCGTTATTTTTTATTTTTTTTATTGCATTATATAACACAATTACAATTAGGCAAAATTCGATTAACAATGTTCTTCTACATTTATAGAAAAAACCACAAATAATAATCAAACCAACAAAATAATACATAATAATATACAAAAAATACAAATAATAATACAAATAAATACACTTAATCCGTAGAATAGACACAAATAAAAAAGACACTACTCAGTCTTCTATTAATTAAATTATTTTCAATAAAGTAAACAGTCTTCCACATTTTGATTTTAGCAACTATAAAAAATTACAGTATAACTAAAATTCCTTTTTGGAAAACTAAAAACAGTGGTTTTGTTTTAGGGCACTAAAGAATTTATGAATATAAAATGTCTCCAAAATTAGAATATTGTTCGATACAAATTGAGTATTAACATCTTTCCCTAATAAATAAAAGAAAATATTATTTTTAGGAAATTGGGAAGACAACTTGAGAGAAACCTTTAACAACTCGAATGAATCTGACCAAAAGGTTTCAACAGGTGTACATACTTATATTTTGCATTGTGTGCAGTGGTGTAAACTACATACAAATACTCAAATTACTGTAATTAAGTAGTTCTCCTCAGGATTGTAATTTACTAAGTAGTTTTAAAAATGTGTACTTTTAATTTCGCTTGGGTACATTTTTAGTGCAGTAATCGGTACTCTACTACTTTCTTTTAATCTGCAGTCACTACTTTTTTTTGTTCCTGTTTATAGGAATTTAAAAAAATCCTGTGATTCCTTTCCAATCAAATCACATAAACATGGTAAATCACATCATAATGAACTACCTCAAGATATGGGTGATTTATAATTGCAGCAAACTGTCTGGAAGCATTAAAAGTGTCCATGAAGATGTTCAAAATCTTTACACGCAATGACCCAGAGACTGTTTAGAAGCATGTCACTGATGAAAAGATGACGGATGTTTATTGTATGATGACTGAAATGATCTTAAACACTTAGCAGGGACAAGACATCAACATTGTCAGATTGACGTACCCCAAACATCGTGGCGACGTTGCATTTTGTTTGAAAATGAAAATCAGGTTGATGTCAGAACTCAACGGGCCGACGTGAATGTCCAACCTAAGACCAACCAAATATCAATGTCTGACGAATGAATGACAGTATTTGACATCAATGTGACGTTGGTTAAAGATATTTGGCTCTATGTTAAATTTTGATCACTTTCTAACAACCTAGACATCAAAATAACATTGTCCTTAGACGCTGGTTAGACATTGAATTTTGGTCACCTGACGTCACAACCTAAATCTAACGCAATATTATAACGTCCTATGATGTTGTGTGCCTGCTGGGCAATAACTAAACGCACTACAGAATGTTACGTTTACACACACATGTACAAATTACATGTAACGCATCAGCTTCTCTCTCACGTTACTCTTGACTTTTAAAATGTCTACTTTTTACTCATACTCTGATATTTACAACAGATACCTTTACTTGCACTACATTTTTAGGCAAGTAATGGTACTTTAGCTCAAGTATGATTTTTCTGTACTCTTTACACCAGTGACTGTGGGACACATGATTCATGTCTATGTCAGGGTTTCGACCATCAACTTCCAAATGAGCCGAAACATCCAAAGTTATTCATTCATACTAACAGAATAAATTATAAACTGTAGGGCTACAAAACTGTATCTAAACACGAATAACGGAAACAAGCTCCGCAGGAATAAAAGCGGAAGTTTGATGACGACAAGATTGGCGACTTTCAAATCAGTAATATTTACAATTGATACATTTGTAGTAATGGCCCAAAGAGTTTGATAATCGTCAACACCCGAGGGAATATGTTATTTGCAAAAAAGCATGTGAATTGTATTGTCTTTACGCCGTTGTATGAAGTCACAGCTTTTATCTAATCAAAAGCGCGTCCCAGGCATTATAGCCCGCCCTCCCGCCTGTCGGTTGTTGCTAGAAGGGATACAGCTGCGGCCGTAAGTTAAATTATTTATATGTATTAAATTACCAATTAATTGTATTTTACTAACGTCTACCCGAACCCAAACCCCTACAGTAATGTAAAATTTGTAATTATTTATTTTATATATTATACTATCAATTAAATTTTATTTTATTAACATCTAACGTTACCCAAACCCTACAGTAATGTAAAAACATTAATTATAACGATAAGTATTTATATTATTTATAAAATTACCCATTGAATTGTATTTTATTAACGTCTACCTCCACCTAAATCCTCATGGCAATGTTAAAAGTGTACACAACTGTCACATAAAGTATCCGCAGCTGTATCCCATCTAGGACTTAACCCAGTCGCAAAGAGGGTTGTTACTAAATCAGATACGGTTGCGGCCGGAAGTTAATGAAATTTATTTATATTATTTATTAAATTTCCCGATCATTTTATTTTATTAACATCTACCCCTACATCCAACCGTCACAGTAACGTAAAAACAGTAGTTGAACCGAGTAATGTTTATGTTATTTATTAAATTACCCTATAAAAGGTATTTTTTAACGTCTACTCCTACCCCAACTTTAAACCAAACCGTCACAGCACTGTAAAATATTAATTATTGTTATACAGTCCCACAAAAATTCTGCAATATCGATATGCGTATCCGCAGCTGTATCCCATCTAGGACTTTACCCAGTCGCGAGAAGCCCAGTTTCAGGCCTGTTTCGATTGGAGGGGTTTTGGGTGACTTTAGCCAATCGCAGTCACCCAGGTCACAGCAAATGAACAGGAAGAAAAGATGGCGGCGAGGAACGGAAAGAATAGTATACTGGAAAAAGTAAGACGTTTCGTATTATTTCCCCTAATATTTAAGATACTTTTATAATCGTGCAACGGTGTTTAGAGCACACCACAGTTTATTACAATATCCATGTTTCATCTTTCTCAGATGTTACTCGGACGTGGATGTTGTTGCGACCCTCGTTTGCGTGTCAGGGGCCAACATGTAAACTTGTTTAAATGGGCCTTCGTGATCATTTCTGTGGGTTTTATATCACAAAATAAATTGAGCATGTATGATTTAAATCTATCGGATGTGTTTGGTGTATCTGGAGGCAGAGAAGTGCACATATTATTAGCATTGTGTTCTGCTCATCATCTTCAGTGTGATGTATGAACGGAAGCATATGGTGAACTAGGAAGATGTGTCAGTTGAGTCTTTTTACTTGTAAATAATGAGTATTAAACGTGTTCTAAATTGATTTCCATGTCCTTTAAGCAAAATGCGCAGTGATATACATCGTGCCTGTTTTTATTCTTTTATTTCCACATCCCTGGTGACTTTATTGAGGTACAGTTGATTTTATATTGACACATTCGAACTTTCACCATTTTGATATACGTTCAGTAAAGTATTAAATAGTGAAATCATGTTAGGAGCCAATACCTGTCAAAGTATAACAGTATTCACAGTCAGCTAAATAGTGCTGATGTTGTTTTGAAGTCAATTGAGGTAAAGTTGATTTTACATTGGCATTTTCATTTAGAGACAACTTGTGACATGGTCCCTATTTTGTTTATGACAATTTGAATACTCGGGCTAAAATCATCTGTAAGTTTGACTTCAAAACAACATTAACACTATTTATTTGACTGTGAACAATGTTGTGCTTTTTTTGTTCATAAGTAGTTTTATTAAACACGTTAGATATAAAACACAGTACAAATAGCTTTTCACTTTTTCCTTTTTTTACACAACAAACAAACAAAACCATATTTATGTTCTATAAAAATATATGAATAATATTAAGATAAAATACAAATAAATAATAATATCAAATAAAACATATTTTACTCTCATAGGAAAGAAAAGGAAAAATAACAAAGAAAGTTTCTACTCTTCTAAAATGACTTAGCAGTCCATCTTCTTTATGTAATCTAAAACAGGTTGCCAGATGAGAAAACGCATCAGTACAGTATATCATATATTTTTTTTAAGGTCAGGTGGTGTAGGAGCTCCATAAGCCTTTGGAGGATATTCTTCCTTTCATTTCAGCAATATCAACCTTCTAGCTAAAAGCGTAGCAAAGGCTATCACATTTATCTTGCTTTTATTAAAACATAAACACTGTGGTGTGATATAAAACATTGAAATTTGGCCTTTAATAGCTATTTAATGCGTTTGAGAGACTATATAAATATTAGCTGCCAGAAATACTTTCACTTTGAAAAGTACAAAAGGACACAAAACTTCGCAGCTGGAGGTTTCTAAAGAAGTGAGAATTTGAAACTTGTACTTGTTGGAATGAAGCAAATTGTTCATCAATTAAATGTGCTTTTGACAGTCATTGGCTGCTAATATGATTCCACTAGGGCTGGCCGATAATTCAATATCGATAATTATCAGGATATATAATTTTTTGATAAAACGGCAATGACTGTTTGATAATATTTGCGCTCTATGCGTAACATAGGCATTTTGCAGCCTGCCCTTCCGGATGCCACACGCAGTACAAGTTTACAGCCATACAGTGTCAGTTGCACTTGGAGGAGTGAGAAAAAAAAAGGTAAAAAAGGTCACAGTCATGGACTTAAAACGTCACTAGACATCAGTTAGGAGCTATTACTTTTTTGCAATCCAACACAGAGAAACGTGCACTGCAAACTGTGCAGACGACTCGTGTCATCAAAAGCAGGAAACACCACACACCTGTTTCATCATTTAAAACAGTACCACCTGTATGAAGATGCTAATGAAATTACAGACCCAAACAAGTGTTAGTAAACTAGCGCAACTACCCAGCAGAGTTTCTTGTCATCATTTTCGAAAGCCGTGCCTTACGAGAAAAAAACCCTCAAAGGCCGATGAAAGATATGACAGACAACACAATCTCAATGAACACTTGATGCTTGCTGTAAACTACAGGCTGCATTTTTAAGGGCATTTGTTATGACATTGATTTTTGTTTTCAAGCTTATGTTTCCTTTTTAATATTAAGATATTTGTTTTAAAAAATCTGCAATATCACTATATCCTCATCGACGGTAAAATAACCTTTATATATTTAAAGGACATAATCACTGAGGAGAAATCGGATGCTCAAGACATAATCTTTATAACAAATGCAGCAACAGTTGTTTAAGATGGGCACGAACTATATATATATTTCTTTGAAAATTAATCTTTTTGCAACGGAATTCGTTTTGTATAATGTGTAATTTAATTCTGATGTATTTTGTTGGTTAGTTATCTACAGCATAAACAAGAAGAACGAATAACATCTTATGTGAAGCAACAAGCCCGCTATATGATGTGCTTTGCGCCAAAACAGTCCATTAAAACTATTTTCACGGTTTCATTTTAATTCATTAACGATGCGCAGATTGAGCAGCATGAGCTGGACGGTCTTTACAGGTAATTCGGAGCACTTATAGTTTTCTTAGATTACTTCGGAAGAATAAAATTTGTTTTAAGGATGTGAGCTCAGAAGCCTGCTGTATGAATGGAGACGCTCCCCGCATGTCTTGTCGTGATGCACGATTTAGAAAATGAGTCTGCATAGGCCCATTCGTGCCAGTCTGTCAGAAAAATTTGGTTATAACATCCGCGAGAGGGTGACTCCATAAGTAAGGGAAACCGCACACACTTGATGATGTAATGCGTGGACGCAAACTAAACCTTTAAAAGTCCATACTTAATCTATTGATTGTCATAATGCTTTAATCGATGATCAAATAATCGTTAGCATCCCTAAATAAAATATATTAAAGCATATTTCACCCTAAATTCTCCATACTCACCATTAAAAGGAGAGTTCATCCAAAACTGAGCATTCTGTCACCATTAACTCAGTTTACTTGTTCCAAACTTGTTTTTTTTTCCTCATGTTTTTATCCAATAACTTGTAGGTTAATGTCTTTGCTTGTTAAAAAGTTGATCAGTAAATGCTCAGTTAAGATTGTTATTTTGCCTATGATTTTATTTATATTGTCAGACAGCAAAAACATTTTACAAAATGTGTTAAATCAGCTGCACAAAGAGATTTGCATGCTGAAAATCCTATAAAATTGATAGATATAAAGATTTCTACATTTATCGTGATAATTATCGACATTGTCAGATATGGAAAAAATTACCGTGATCATTTTTTTGCCTGTATCGCCCAGCTCTAATTTGAAGCTACAAACTCTCAAGTTCATGAAATATCAGTCTTTCTGTGTTGTATCTCATTATTTTTTTCTGATTTCAGTGGAGGATTGATGAAAAGCCTGTGAAGATTGACAAATGGGATGGTGCAGCTGTGAAGAACTCTCTAGATGATGCAGCTAAGAAGGTGCGTGTCAATTCAATTACAATTTTCTAATTCTCTTAAAAAGAGATGTTCTTCACTTGAATAGTATTAAAATGTATTTATTCATAAAAATTGTGCATCATTATTACTCCAGTCTTTAGTATTGCATATGTATGTAGGCTTACATTATAGCACTGGTACCTTTGTAACCGGTATGTACCAGACCAAATCAGCATATGAATTTCGGTGCCTAATTTTGGTGCCACTGATGCTGCGATAAGGACGTTAAAAACTTCAAGGGGTGCATCAAAGGCACACATAGGTTCGCGGTCACACCATTTCTAGACATTTAATTCTAAACAACTTTGAGGAATACGGACAGGAGTTTGTTCTCTGAAAGCTTGCGACATCATGTGGGACTTTCAATAAGTCCGTACATGGACATCAATGCTCCATGAACAGTGATTTTTGATTACCTTAAAGGACCACAGACACCTGCATCACGAAATGCGGAGGTTTTTTCTTTACATTCAACATACGGTATCAAATTCCATTAAAAGAGCACTTTTCCACCAGTCCTTACTTAATGCTCGCATCAAATACCCCAGTTTGTCATGGGGGCATGAATGAAAATTTCCTGAATGAAAGTGAAAGCAGTTAAAGTCGAAAAATTAAAAATGAAACATCTGAAATTACACGAAACTCTGGTGGAAACATGGATAGCATGGTGAAGCAATGATGTTAATTGATCTATGTACTATAACATGTAAGACGGAATCATGAAAGGAACATTTAAAAAGCAACTCATGTAAACACCTTGATCATATCATTGTCTTAATCAGATTATGAAAAATCGTTAGATTACTCATAACCATGTAAACAGTCACCAGCCCCAACACTAGATAAAAGGAGTTCAGTATTTTGATGATTTTCTTTCCACAGGTTAGTTGTCTTAAATTCTTAAATTCATGCTAACCAACAAATGATCAAAGGAAATATATTAATGAAATTCAAATGTATAAAATATGAATTGATGTTTACTTTAATTATATTGTTCTATTAAATTTTTTTTTTTTTTTTAAAGATTTTGTCAAATAAAAAAATTTTCTAGAGTCATCCACCATAATTTTGTGGCTCAAAAGTATCAGTTCAGGCACCGGTACCGTTTTAAAAGTATCGATTCAGCACCGCTATTGAAATAACCCCAAATGATACCCAACCCTAGTGATGATTTTCCAAAACGCCGGGTACAGTGTGGTCATGTGGACTTTAAAACCGAAGTTTTAGCCTCATGACATCAGTGTGCGATCTGTTTTCTCTTTGATTGGCCAACACACCTGGGTTCCCTTCAAACATGGAAGACGTGAGTGAGGCAAATTCTGCACATTTATGACTAATGAATTGTGTATTTTGCATTTCTATACCGCAGACTTCTGTCCTCACATTTGCATTCAATATAGTGCAATTTACTCGCGAATTATACTTAGTTCCCCATTTGATGTAAACTCAGTATAAAAGTGTCATTATCGCCACCAGTTGATCAGTGCGCCCTAAACATTGTCATGTGGAGATTTTTTTAAAACTAAAGTGGGGAAAACACTTTTATAAAAGTGTTTATAAAAGTACCTGTGTGCATATTGACATGGCCTTATTGATATTTACACAGATTCCAATACTGCTTATTGATATTTTTTAATATATATTTATACACATACACACTTACTTTATTAGGTACACCTTGCTAGTACCAGGTTGGACTCCGTTTTGCCCTCAGAATTGCCTTAATCCTTCAAGGAATAGATTCAACAAGGTACTGGAAATATTCTTCAGAGATTTTGGTCCATATTGACATGATAGCATCACGCAGTTGCTACAGATTTGTCGGCTGCACATCCATGATGCCAATCTCCCGTTCCACCACATCCCAAAGGTGCTCATGTTCAAGAAACTAGTCTGAGATGATTCACGCTTAATAACATGGCTTGTTATCCTGCTGGAAGTAGCCATCAGAAGATGGAGCAACAATACTCAGGCTGTGGAATTGACACGATGCTACTGATGGGCCCAAAGTGTGAAAAGAAAATATTCCCCTTACCATTACACCACTAGTCTGAAGTATTGATTGATACAAGGCAGAATGGATCCATGCTTTCATGTTGTTGATACCAAATTCTGACTCTACCATTCGAATGTTGCAGGAGAAATCGAGACTCATCAGACCAGGCAACATTTTTCCAATCTTCTATTGTCTAATTTTGGTGAACCTGTGCGAATTATAGCCTCAGAAGCTTGTTCTTAGCTGACAGGAGTATCACCCGGTGTGGTCTTCTGCTGCTGTAGCCCATCCGCCTCAAGGTTGGACGTGTTGTGTATTCAGAGATGCTCTTCTGCATACCTTGCTTGTAACGAGTGGTTATTTGCGTTACTGTTGCTTTTCTATCAACTGGAACAAGTCTGGCCATTCTCCTCTGACCTCTGGCATCAACAAGGCATTGGCGCCCCCAGAACTGCCACTCACTGGATATTTTCTCGTTTTCAGACCATTCTCTGTAAAACCTAGAGATGGTTGTACCTGAAAATCCCAGTAGATCATCAGTTTCTGAAGTTCTCAGACAAACCCGTCTGGCACCAACAACCATGCCATGTTCAAAGTCCCTTAAATCACCTTTCTTCCCCATTCTGATGCTCGGTTTGAACTGCAGCAGATAGTCTTGACCATGTCTACATGCCTAAATGCAATGAGTTGCTGCCATGATTGCTTGATTAGTAATTTGAGTTAATGAGCAGTTGGACAGGTGTACTTAAAGTAAGTTTATGTTTATTTGTGTGTGTGTGTGTGTGTGTGTGTGTGTGTGTAATAAGTTATTTTAATACTGTTGAACTATACATCAGTTTACGAATACCTGTACGCAAACAGAACTAAGTGCATAAAGTATAAAGACATAAACAATAGTTCTGCACATTCTGGCAGTAAATGGTTTATTATATTGCTAATGTCGGCACCTTTGTTCACTATCACACACACTGCATACCCATACGTTTCCTTTTCAGACATCTCACCCACCAAAGACTTATTGAGGGAGGTTATTAGGTTATTTTATTATTTTGGACAGCAATATGTAGTTCAGCCACTAGGTGTCAATCCTACATACTGCACATACCATTGACTCCAATTACATACTGGTTCAGAAAAAGAAAAATCCGCACCCATCCTTACTCTTGACTTTCACAAAAATATTAAAGAGGAAAATGAGTTTAAGCTTTGAAAGTGAGAACCATTATTAATAAGGGAGTACCCATTAAGCATATCAAGTCTGATGAATTATGTGTGTGTCTGCTTTATTTCTATAGGTTCTGATTGAAAAATATGGCTACCTTGAGAGTTTCAACTTGGTGGATGGACGTCTGTTCATTTGCACAGTCTCCTGCCTTTTCGCCATTGTAGCTTTAATTTGGGATTACCTCCACCCGTTTCCTGAGTCCAAGCCTGTGCTGGCGTGCTGTGTGGTTTCATATCCTTACCTACGATTCATTCTCTCTCAACTGATATAACATGTGGCGTTATAATGTGATCATGAACACTGACTACAGTCACTCGTGGCTGGTGTTCTGTGAAGGAAAGTTTTGCATTGTGTACTATGGTTTAAAGCTAGTTGTGTCTCAGAACTAAAAGCAATTTGAATGAAATTTCCAATGATCAAAGACATTTCTTTATTAAAAGGTTATAAAGAAATCTTTTCAACGTTACATTCATAGTTTTTGTTTAGCCTGAATGTAACTTTAATAAGGGATTAAAACGGCAGCATTGTCATACAGCGCATCTGTAAAGTATTCATAGCGCTTCACTTGTTCCACATTTTTTATGCTACAGCCTTATTCCAAAATGGATTAAATTCATTTATTTCCTCAACATTCTACACACAATACCCATTATGACAGTGTGAATTCTTTTTTTTTTTAATTGTTGCAAATTATCAAAAATAAAACACCAGAAAAATCACATGTACATCAGTATTCACAGCCTTTGCCCAGTACTTTGTTGATGCACCATTGGCAGCAATTACAGCCTCAAGTCTATTTAGATATGATGCCACAAGCTTGGCACACCTGTCTTTGGGAATTTTTGCCCATTCCTCTTTGCAGTACCTCTCAAGCTCTATCAGGTTGGATGGAAGCAACGGTGTACAGCCATTTTTGGATCTCTCCAAAGATGTTCAATAGGATTTAGGTCTGGGCTCTGGCTGGGCCACTCAAGGACATTCACAGAGTTGTTGTGAAGCCACTACATTGATATTTTGGCGGTGTGCTTTAGGTCATTGTCCTGCTGGAAGATGAACCGTCACCCCAGTCTGAGGTCAAGAGCACTCTGAAGCAGGTTGTTCATTCAGGATGTCTCTGCTCATTGCTGCATTCATCTTTCCCTCTATCCTGACTAGTCTTCCAGTTCCTGCTGCTGAAAAACTTCCCCACAGCATGATGCTGCCACCACCATGCTTCACTGTAGAGATGGTATTAGCCTGGTGATTAGCGGTGCCTGGGTTTCTCCAAACATAACGCCTTGCATTCACTCCAAATAGTTAAATTTTAGCCTCATCATACCAGAGAATTTTGTTTCTTATGGTCTGAGAGTCCTTCAGATGCCTTTTTGCAAATTCCAGGCGTCGAGTTGCTTCTGTCTGGCCACTCTACCATACAGGCCTGATTGGTGGATTGCTGCACAGATGGTTGATCTTCTGTAAGGTTCTTCTCTCTCCAAAGGAGAACAATGGAGCTCAGACAGAGTGACCATCAGGTTATTGATCACCTCCCTGACTAAGGCCCTTCTCCCCTGATCACTCAGCTTAGATGGCCGGGCAGCTCTAGGAAGAGTCCTGGTGGTTTCAAACATCTTCCACTCACGAATGATGGAGACCACTGTGCTCATTGGAACTTTCAGAGCAGCAGAAATTTTTCTGTTACCTTCCCCAGCCTTGTGCCTTAAGACAGTCCTGTCTCGCAGGTCTACAGACAATTCCTTTGTCTTTATGCTTGGTTTGTGCTTTGACATGCACTGTCAACCCTGGGATTTTATATAGACAGGTGTAAGCCTTTTCAAATCATGTCCAATCAACTGAATTTACCACAGGTGACTCCAATTAAGCTGCTAAAACATCTCAAGAAGGATCAGTGGAAACAATGTACCCGAGCTCAATTTAGAGCTTCACGTCATGGGCTCGTACATGCGGTTTTTCAGGTTTTTTATTTTTAATAAATTTGCACCAATATCAAAAAAATCTTTGTCATTATGGGGTATTGTGTGTAGAATTTTGAGGAGATAAATGAATTTAATCCATTTTGGAATAAGGCTTTAACAAAGAATTGTTGAAAAAGTAAAGCACTATGAATACTTTCTGGATGCACTGTAGATTCCAACCATAAACAAAATAATATATATTTGGTTAAAATGTTAAATTGGAAAAATGTATTTGCACAGCCGAAAAAATAGGATAATGGGTTAATAGTCTTTTTTAAATCAATTTGTGACTCCAAGAGTTGGAATAAGATTGGATCGTGAAATCCTACAAAGATTGTCACCGCTAATTTGCGCTGCAGGTTTGAAGTGAAATGTAAATGAGTGTAAATAGAGCACTGCTGCAGTTGTTGTCCTTAACAGATCAACACATACTTCATTATGATGGGGATTTTGACCCTGTACACTTCCTACAAAGAGAAGAACATCTTCCTCGTGGCCATGCAGAAGGACCCAGCAGGAATGGACCCAGATCACAATTGGTGTCTGTCCTCCAGCCTAAAAAGGTAAATAGGTTTTATAGTAGTGAGTTTTAATGATGGAAATTGTTATCAGTGGTGAGGAAACCATTCACTAAAGCCGCATCTGATGTGACAGACCATCTCACATCTTTACTGTTACTGTCATGTTAAAATAAACATGGATGGTTGTTAAGCCTGACTTGTACTACAGCTTGGAGTTCAATAGTTCTATCTTTAAAGGGGTTTGGTCCACTTCAAATGTTGACTAAGTTGCTGTACATTTTACACTATCTGACAACAGTCTTGTTGACTATGCAAGTGTTAGGAACAATAAATAATAACTTGACTTCTAGTTGATCATTTTGTATCAGAAAAAAAAATATATAAAAAAAAAAATATATATATATTTATTTTATACATGTATAAAAAATATTTATTTAATGCCTACAGTGTGGAGAAGAGAGAGAGAGAGAGAGAAAGGTGAGGTAAGATGGCGAATTGTGCACCAAGTGACCTGCAGTTTGGCAGTATTTACGGTTTTGACCGAACGAGAAGGGAGACATGGTAAATACGGACCAGAAGTCTGCATTCCTGCTGCTGCAACCCGGGACACGACCAGATTTTTTGCAGTGCAAAAATAAATTTTTGAATAAAGCGCAGGAGCGGTCGGTCACTCTGGTGTAGTTTAAAAGGGAGCGCAGCCTAACAATATCGTTCCTGAGTGAGTGAGCGAGCGAGCGAACACGCGCATCTGCTCTGCGTGGATGCTCTCTCTTTGTGTGTGTGTGTGTGTGTGAATGAGAGAGCGTGATATTGTGCGTCGCTTGGTTCTCTCTCTCTCTCTCTCCCTGCGTATGAGAGAGAGCGTCCTGCGCTGATCTCTAATACTAACAAGACAAACAGGTGACCTTGCACCTAAGGTTGCATATACGGTATTCAGTTTCTGAATGGTTTAGGCACAAGCCAACAGTTTGGTGATGCTGTCTGAGCCTTACATCATAATTGTTTTATTATGCACGATAATACCGGATACTGAGGTAAAATAGGGAGGAGGTTTGACCGTTATCAAAATTCGGATACTGCCCAAGCCTAGTAAACACAAACCAAAACATTTCATCTGGAACTCCTTCACGGGACTCGACACTTGTAAACAGTCGCTCCAACGGACTCGCGCGGCTCTCGGTCCCGCCCGCACTCGTCAGCGCTACCAAGGCGACCAATCATAGAGCTTGCACTACGCGTCGTTGCGACGCCACGGAAATGCTATGCGTCCACGCAAAGGCTGCGCCGTAACATACGCATGCGCTTGACTCAGTATAAATCAGCCTTAAGGCTGCTTCCCCCGCTACCCGGCCCCAGAAAAGTGGTAGAAAATGAATAAATAAGCGTAATCTTGAGGCCTTTGCTTTCATATAAGCTACGTCTGATACCAAACGATCAACTAGAAGTCAAGTTATTTGTTGTTCCTAAAACTTGGATAGGTGTTTATATTTAGTTGGTATTGAAAAAGTCTTGAATTTGACTTGTTAACCTCCTCCTTGAGCTGGTTTTAGGGCCACTTGGTCAACTTCAACTGACTGGCTTTGTCTCCATCAGGTTTGATGACCAGTACACATTAAGAATGTCCTTCACTGACGGGAAAACCAAGCAGTCGAGGGAAACCGAGTTTACAAAGTCAGTAAGCGTTTTCTTCGACGAGAACGGGACGCTGGTGATGGACCAATACGAAAAATACGTCTCCAAGCTTCACGACACTCTGGCCACAGAGAAGAAGACGAAGTAAACGGTTAGTGGAAATGACGGCACCAGCTTTCAGCGACCCAGCACACACAATTTAATGGTGGCTTTAGTGGACAAAACACTGATGTTTTTCAGGCTAGTTTGAGTTCAGCTCTCAACTGTAATAATATAGAAGTGTTTCGTTTAATTGCTTATGTTTCAAACAAACAAACAAAAAGGTCCAAATGTCTGTTTTGTTATCCATATTTTTTAAATGTAAGATCAGTTGATAAGGCAGACGTTTCTATGATATTCATCATTTAGTGTGTGCAGTATATTTTAGGTACATTTAAATAAATGAAATGGTATGTAATCAGATACAAATGCCAGAGTTTTATGGTGGAAATGTATATTTTCATCAAACAAAAGTCACTTCTTTCTTGGAGGCGATCAATGTTAGTGTTTCCACATTTCACAATGCCTATTGAATAATGTGTCTGATTTACATCTGATTATCAGTATATGTACACATTTTGTCCCGAGAGCCTTAAGTCAGTTTTTCAATTTTTTTTCTTCCTGTTTTGAATTTTATCTGTTATTTAGGCTTTAAAAGACAGCAAAAAATAAAAAAATAAAAATGAGGGACTGAGTCTATCTTTTGAATGGAGTCAATCTAGGGCCATGTATACTTGCAAAATAAAACAGTTTTGCAAACAAAAAAAATTAAGTATTGAGCAAAAAATAAATAATTAATGCAAATTTCCAAACATCGCAATTCAAAAATTTACTTTAGAAAAAAAAATAATTTTGCTTACAAAAAAATAAAAAACTGCTAAGGGAAAGTTAGGTTTTGAGAAATAAAAATAACATTTGCAAAAAAAAAAAAAAAAAAAACTGCAAATAAAAATTAAGCAGTCCAAAAAAATAAAAAGTAAAAAAAAAATTATTTGCAATAAAAAAAAAGAGCTTGATTAGTTGGTTCAAGTGTGTTTAATTGAGGTCGAAACTAAAATATGCATGACACCGGCCCTCCTAGATATCACATTTATGGCAAAAATATAAGTCCTTTTCCTGGTCTTTGAAATAACTCGACATAAATCAAGGAGGCTGAGAAAAACATTCTTTTTCAATGAAAATTTGAGACGGTACTTCGAGGTTTTTGCATCTGGACTCTTCAATTATATATATATATATATATATATATATATATATATATATATATATATATATATATATATATATATATATATATATATATATATATATATATATATATATATATCTATTTGCAAAACATTTTTTATAGCATTGCCTTTATCCAGCAATTCCCTGACCTACTAGGCTGTAAGACCACCTTGCTGATGCTGTGTCAGGGTGATGATGTCGTTTAAAATGGAGGCTAGTCTGAGCCTGCCTTAAACGCCTAAGTTCCCTTGACTCCACCCCCTTGCCAAATCATGGCCACAAAGTGAAACGCGCAAAAACGTGAAGTGGAAAACAGCATGGCAAAATCACGGTTGACTATAAAGCAAATCGAAATGAGCATTGCAATTGACGGAATGGGTTTTGTAAAGGCAATGCTATATATATGTTTTGCAAATAAATTTAGTTGTTTTTTTCATTGCAAATGTTTTGTTTTTTTGTTTGTTTGCAAGTTTCATTTCTATTTCTCAAACTTTTCCCTTTGCAGTTAGCAAAATACATTTTTAAATGGCTATTTTTGTAGATTTGCATTTATTTATTTAGTTTTTGCTCAATACTTTATTTTTTGTTTGCAAAACTTTCTTTTATTTTGTAAGTGTATATGGCCCTAGATTGACTCCATACTTTTGTATCGTCCCTTTGCCGCTTTCATACTTTTGTGTTTGTCCATGTAAGCTTGAACCAGGGATAATCGTTTTATGTTCCCACCATTTTGATCTGTTCTCACACTCAGGAGCAACTGGACCTGAATTTTCTTAGTTTTCTAATGTTTGTGTTCCGTCAACAGATGTTTTCAAGTAGATTATCTGTAATTTATTTTAAAGAGTTTAGAACCATGCATCTGGTTTTCAGTTTGTTGCTTCGCATTGTGAAAATATCAAGCCTGCATAAATTTGAGCAGTCTCTGTCTAATGATGTTCAGCTTTAGCTACCCATATTGTATGTGCCTGTTATTCTCAAACTAAAAAAGTGGCATAATAAAGTGATAAGGCATTTTTACTTTTGTGTTCACTTTTCTTTCTTTCTTTGTCAAATTTGTTTGCTTTTGCAATTTTACCACAGTTCGACTGCTTATCCTATAGGGGTAAGGGTGTCACGATTTCGATTTTAAATTGAAATCGATCAAAATTTATGCTCAATTTCGATTATCGAATCAAACAATAGCACGCTTGTTGAAGTGCTTGTTAAACTGCAGACGCAGGAGACCCGTCGACAGAGCTTAAACCCTTTCTTCTTTCAATGAAGTCGCCGGTGTGGAAGTATTTTGGATTTCCAGTGAGTTATGTTGACAACGTTCGTATTGTCGACAAAAAAACACAGTTTGCAAGCTCTGCTATGTACGTATTAGGGTTGGGCCAATAGACGATGGGTGCATCGCGATCCTCCGCCCCGCTCTCGTTGCAAATCGGCTCGTGAAAAGTACACACTTAGACCCTGTTTACACTAATATGTCTGTTTTTAAATGCCATATTAAAACGACAACGATCCACATCCACAGTGGCGTGTAGCATTTCTGAGCAGCCCTCCTTCCTCACTACTGCTGAAAATGCACATCACGTGACCACACACACTCATTCACACACAGACGCACACACAGTCATGCGCTTGAGACAGCAGGTCCAGGCAGTCAGAGGATCAGTAGACTGCTTCAGTCTTTCACTCACTTGTACTTAGTCATTTTAGCGAACACCTCAGATACTGTTGGCTGGTTCCTGTTGGTTGTGCTCCTTTTTTATCGACGCCATTATAACGACACCGATCACTGCCTATTCACGAGTCCCGCAGAAAAAGTGATTGACAGGTGGTAATTATGTGTGTATCTTACCTTTATTAATTTACTGTATGATTTGTTTATGGGTAAAACCAAGACCATGCAGGTCAGGTAGTTTAAATGGTAGGCTACAAATAATTAATTTGTTATTAATTAATTAATTATTCATAATCGAAAATCGAATCGAACCGTGACTTTAGAATCAAAAATGTAATGGAATTGAGGATTTGGAGGATCATGACATCCTTATATAGTGGTGAAACAAAATATCGATTTGCTGACATTTTGTGATATTTCTGGCCATGATACATTATCGATGCCCTGGCGACGAGTAACGATATTTATCTAAATGCACATAATATCTGAATTAATCAGTCTTATACATTATAAATGCTCTGAGGAGTCTGTCCTCACCTCTCTGAGCATTTTGGCGAGCGTTTCTCAAACAACAACATAACTCGCGGCTGATCTATCATAGTACGATGCATCGTTTGGGAAAAGAACGATGTAGTGACGAGTGTTTCCTAAAACCCGTAGTTTCTGCCGCAGATTCATCGTTTGACCCACGTCAGTTATAACGTAAAACGCCCATAATGATGCTCCAAACTTGGAGTAACAACTTCTTTAGAGAAAAACCACGTTTTTGTTTCTTTGTGCAAATTATATTGTTTTACAGGCACACATAAAAAAAATCACAGCTCGCAGCACTCCAGTATAGACCTTTTTCTTAAAATGCAAAATTACCCATTATGCTTTGCGTGTATGCGCAAGGAGAATGCTAACCGTACGTCCAAGGTCGCTCTGGCCGCCCTGGCGATAACGCTGTCTGCCTTCAGCTCCGGCGGCGAGAGCGTCAAAACTCGCTACATTGATCTCGTATTTAAAGGAGCCGTTGCAGCATATCAGTTACATACCTGCATAAGACATATTTCTAAAGTGAAAATGTTGCGCACTTCTTGTCAAATTCATACAACAATGGAAGATCAAGTTGCATGTGATGTGGCTTTGCTCTATTTATCCAATATGTGTCTATATGTCTGAAATATCCTGAAGCAGCAGTACTGTCACATCGTGTAAGATTCCCGCTTTTTTAAGATAAATTTATATAACATTAATGAACATCAGTAACTCGCCAGTAACTTATTTAATGTATGTTCCTGTTGGAAAACATTGTAAATAATTGGAAATCCGGCGACCGCAATCATCAAACCCTTGGGAACAACTGTGGTCGGAACCAAAGTTCACAGGTCTGTGTTCTCTGAACTCCCCTCAAGCGGTGGACGTCTTCATTCTGATTGCTTGCCGTCGAACCGCGTCATAGCTCATTACCATAAAGTTGACTTCATTTCAACTCTCATCGACGCTCACGCCGGCGTAGACGCGCTGCGCTGTTCCTCGCCGCTTATCGCCGACTATCGCTGCCGGCTCTCATTGAAAATGAATGACTTCCGGCTACTTTGACGCTCTCGCAGCTTTCGGTGTGAACGTACGGTAAGAATTTCTGGTCGGCAGCTGATCCGTATAAACAGTCACATTTAAGCAGCTTTGAAACAATATTTATTATCTATTTTACCTGCTTTTTTCATCTTTGAACCAATACTGTTGTTGATCAGCGCCTTCCTCCTGGACTGATCAATTAAAAAAATGTGATCTAATAGGGTGGAAAACAGCTGCTGTAAGGCTTTTTCTCCATGTTATCAGACGGCATCTTCTGTCGTTTCTCTTTTTTTCAAATATGTAACCAACTCAAACAAATGTAGTTAACCAAAATGTTTGATACACACACGTAGCCTGTACTGTCCCACTGACACACTGATGTAATAACTGACAAAGTTCAAATAAAGTGACTTTTTAAAATGACAGAAAAACACACCGTGGTAAACACAACACACTAAATGAAACCTAAACGGCTTGCGATTTGAATGAACAGCAAATCAGCCAGCAGAGTATCAGTAACAGACTTTTATTGGTCATTTTTGCAAATTGCATGACTTTCATACCTGTTAAGTTTCATGCCAGTAATCTGGTTTACTCTATGATGCAGTGAAGTATTGCGTGTGTGTATTAAAGAGCCGCTGAGCTAACAGCTGACAAACCGGGGAAACACACACACACTGTATTTCTGACGGCAGACACTAAACTAGGAAACATTTTTCTCTTGCGCTTGAACCACAATTGACAGATTATAACGGCTTTCACACACACTTTTCAAAGTTGTTTGTCACAAAACACTCCGTAATCCACTCAAAACCAGCTGTAAACGGAAGTTCTAAGCATTCTACCGGAGACGCTGGTCGATATGGCGCCCTCCATACAGCAGCCAAAAAAACACCTCCAAAACAGCAGCACAAAGGGGAGAAATCAGTGCCTTAAATCTGTCCAATGTATTAGTGAGCCTTTTCTCATTTAAAGTTTCAGGTCGGCCTACTTTGTGTGTGAAGAGCAGGTAACAACCCTCTCTACTCCATTGTTGTAAATGCGGTCTGCTGGTCTAGCAGACACAGCGCAAGATTAGTTTTTTGAGCTGTTGACAGTTGTATATGTGTCCCACACTGCTAAAAACACTATTAGGACACCTATATTTCACTAAAAAGTGTAAATTGGTTGTTTTTGCGTTATTTCAAGCAAATTCGTACTTCCTGTTTGAAAC